GCCGGTCGTGATGGCACCAAAGACTTTATTGACGTTGGTCATAGCCAGGATGCACGGTTTGTCCAATATCCATAATTATGAAGTCACATGACAATTGGGAATTTTTGCAAATTTCTTTGCAGCAATATGATGAAGAAATATTATATCGGAGATCTGGCTGCAAGTGATATTAAGAAAAAAGTGCCTCTGAAGTAAGTTCTAAAGCTAGTGGATCGGCAACTTTCGGATAAATTGCTCATAAATTTAACTCGCGCCAAAACACACAAAATGATCTCATTATTTTAGGCCATTACTGTTTAATTGTGTCTAAGCAGCCATACAAACCTCTATAGATTGATAAGACATGAATAGCTTATTATTTGGCTTTTAATCGCTCTGGGTCCCAATTTGATGTTTTATTTTGAAATGTTTACCAAATTGTCCATTGTTTATTACTATAACGAAAATATAAGTAATTAAGTGCATGCTATTGTTTAGCTTGCATGACTAAAACACCATTATATATCTACATAATTAAATGCGCAATCAATAGGCGATAAGGGTGAGGTACTGGCTTAGCATAGCATGTTGTAATTAATGAATGCCATGACCAAATGCATAATTGTTTTGACTGCCAATAGCTCTAGGATGGGGTTAACTTAATTGCCCTGAATGGGGGATGAAACCTCAAAAATGTGTTTACATTGTTATTATGTACATTTGTAATTTTCTCCTTTTCTCTGTAGCTTTAATGAACATCGAAATAGGGGATCTCTATTATTCTTAGCGGGCTTAGTTTACAATTTGATTAAAAAACCTTTTAAAACCTTAATTCAAATTAAAAAACTTGTCCCACAAAATATAATTTCCAAACCATTTGTGCCAAATGAAAGTATTTCGGACATCTTAATTAAGATTTATAAAATCAGTATGGGAAACGAATAAGTTTGGGAGATCCTTTCTATGACACCTATAAATAATACTTGAATATTGGGTCCCATTTACATATGTATATTCTTTTTGGGAATACATACTTTACACATATCCTATTTGACATGCTGTTTCTTGAAAGTTTATATGTATATATACATACATAGTTCATATCATTAAGCTATACCAATTGAGTAGAAACCATTCTTGTTTTGCATGCTTCATCACATTTATTGTGAATATCTGTATATAACTCTTAACGAATTGATCACACAACCATATCTCATGTTTTTTTTCTAAAGCTTCAAATCATTTTCAAGCACCAAAGTAAAATTCTACAAAAGTTAATAGAGAAATCGGCTCGTACATTTCTGTTTACCAAGAAATAAATCCGAAATTCCATTCGTTTTGTAAGTTCTGAAATATGTTATTATGTGGATGGAATAGCTCGTATATATGTGTGTATGTATATGTGTATAACCAGCACATCGAACTGACTGCACGCCAGAAAACAAAATTGTTGAATTATTTTACATTCGTCATTTCTGATGAGTTTTATTTTGTAATTCTTTTCCATACTACCAAAATATGAACGACAACAACAACTACTACTAGCACGGGCTTGGCCACCTCCTCAGATACTGAACACAACACAGAAAATACCGGGCCCAGTAATGCATCCGTCGTTCCGAAACAGTGTTGCATTTTGCACTAAACCAAAGAAAAAACATTCACGAACCGCTTTAATTCAAGTGCAATACTTAGTCTATCACACCCGCTGCTATATACGATTTACACAGCTTACACCTTTAGATAGATCTTTAGACCTATTATATTTCATAATTTTGATAATAAATAATGTTTTTCATTTGCGAACATCTTGCAGAGAAATTGGACTCGCTGTGGGCGCAATTTTCTTGGGCATTACATTGGTCTATTTGTTAAAACGTGGTTTGGCCAAAAATTGAATACTCAGCGCACATTTTATAACAATAATGGATGGGACACACAGCCAGATGTAAATTTCTACTTCATTCCAAGGCACGAGCAAATAACAAGCAACGACATCACTAGCCACTATAATTAATGGCTCCAACTACTGGACAAGCGTAAAGTTTTACTTAAATGCTCTTTGTATGGAGAGCTGTTTGATATTAAAGTATGTTACTACAAGGATAGTCCCAAATATACTCGATTTAAAATAAATAATACATTCAATTGTGATGTGACTTTATTGTTGACTTCGTTCAAACTAGATACTTTCCCTTGAACTTAAAAATAAGAGAGTACCAAAGCACTTGTGTGCAAGAGTGACATTAAAATTTCCCGCGGGAAATTAGAAACAGACAATGAGTTAAAGGTACCTAAAAAGTCTCTAGATCTACATTTTCGACAGGAAGTCGAACTTTTGAAACTTGGCTATTCATTATCTCGTGGAATGAAAAACATATTTGGGGGATTTCTCTTCTAATTTATTAGCTTTTCAAAAATCATTTCCACCTTTTCTATTTTCACTTACATCTTTGCTGTAGCAAACATTCTTATAGCCTCTAAATATATGATACAAACTCAGATTATGAAGAGCCACTATAAAAAAATTCGTAAATGCCAAATTTCTGAAGAATATATTTATAAATAAAAATGTTCTGCGTCGATTATTCAGCTGATCATGGCAGCTAGATGATATAGTGCACTTCAGAATATAGTGAGGAATAGAAATAGATAATCTATAAAAACACATATTTTTCACCATATGCATAATTATAAAATTTTGCGCTAATCGTTCCTATGGCAGCTATATGATATAGTGAGCTAATTTCAATTAGTCTTTAGACCCCATACTAAAAGCGTGTTTTCGACTGGCTGCTTTATAAAATAATGAGGCTAAGTATGCACGGTTTGTAATAAAATGTCTCTGCATATGAATAAGGCCAGTCTATGTACATACCAAGTTTCGTGATCCTAGCTGTTATGTTTTAAAAGTTCTTGGTGTTCATACAGACGGACATGTCTACATTTGGTAATGCTGATATGGTCTGCCACGCCTCCTCCTGGCTGTCATATACATTTGGTTTTGAAACTTCTTAGTACGCCCTTTTATGCATGGGAGTGAGCGAGACAGCATGCACTAATTTTGTCCTTATATAAAGGGACCACGATTGTTTTCATGAAGGATCAGAATAATCTACTAAGCCAGACATGGTGTAGATTTATAGTTGAACCCTACTCTCTATATAAAGCTCGAAAAACTTTAGTAATAAAAAAACGGCCGTATCTATAGGAACTATACTTGAGTAAAGTTGTAATATAATTTTTAAAGTAGATTCAATTAACTGCTATGTATTTATGAGATTTAATTGTACTATATATTAGATATTTAGCTGCGCTTAATGAAAGCATAGAATGGTTTGGTATTTCCCCATTGCCCAATAAAATGAATTGATTCGGCTTGCACCGGCAGTTTCTCATCGGAAAAAAATCATAATTTTTATTTCGACTTTTAGGCGTCGCATAAAGTAGTGTGTACATTAATTCAAACGGCTGTCAATTAATCCATCAGCTAAGGGACTTCGGCATAATAATAACCCTAAGTCGCTGCAGTGTTAATTTCCAACTGTTCCAATTACACCTCCAAATACTTTTTCCACCTCCTTCTACATTTGTGTGATTTTTTTTTTTTTTTTTTTAATTTATTGTATTGAGTTCTTGTGGTTGTATTTGTTGTTGTTGTTGTTTTAATATGTTTAATTTAAAGTTATTTAGAGCTGCGTTTCTTGCTTTGTGTTCTGTAATTTTCGTTTATTTTATAATTTAATGCAATTAATTTGTTGAGGCAACGCTCCCCATCGTCCCACATCATTAGCGCCAGCTCCACTTTTAATTCTCATCGTACAGTGGGGTGGAATCTCCCAGATTCATCGAGTGCGGCGAGGTATTTGTGCGCGGAGTGCTCCGCACTGAAGATTTGGAAGAGGCACCGGCAGCTGTGCGCATGCGCTGCTGATCCTCGCGACCTGTGTGGAGGCCAGAGTTGAGATTGGTGCTGCTGCTACTGCTCGTGTGGTACTCATTGGTGGGCGTGGAGCCGGTGTTATAGCCAGATCCAAGACCAAGGCCCATGCTGCTCGAAAGCTGTTGTTGTTGCGACTGCTGCTGTTGATGTTGCGGCTTGCGACGCGCCCACGAATCGTTGGCCAGCTGCCAGTCCATGTTCTCTTTGGCACGTTGCTGCTGTTGCTGCTGCTGTGGAAGAAGACTGGCGTTCATGCCGCTGCTTCCGGAACTGTTGTAGGCATTGGATGTGGTCATATCATAATAGCGGGGCGTACCGCTCGGCACTCCACTGCTTGAGCCGTAGTGAAGTCGCTGGCTGCTGGACGATTGCGAGCTGGGGCTGGGAACGTTGTGGCCATAGCGCGGCGTTTGCGAAGCATGGGGTGTGTAGGGTGTCATGAAGGGCGTCTGACCGCTGGGCGTGTACGGTGTGTTGATGTGCGCGCCGAAGGAGGGCGTTGTGGAGCTGCCACCGTAATGAGCCCCAGAAGCGCCGCCCGCACCGGTTACGCTGCTCGATCCATAGCCGCCAATGGAATGCGTTACGGAGTAGGCGGATGAGCTACGCGCATCTGCATTGCTGATGCCGCTACGTGGTGTGCCACTCATGTTGGTGCCATAAGTCGAAATCGAGCTAAGGGCTGCCGGTGGACGCATGCTGTGGGAAGATGGCGTGTTGGTTGCTGGCGAAGAGGCTGGGTCCAGCCAATGCTCCTTGAACCAGCGCAATAGACTGTTCACCGAGTCAAAGACCTGGCTGCGGAACCGATAGCCTTCGGGTATTACCGTCACATATTCGTGCCGCACCTTCGTCTTCGGCAGGTACGAGAGCAGAAACTTCCCCGGCATGCTTCTTGAGGCGGTGAAGAAGTAGTGGATCTTCTTTGGATCGCGGGTCTTCTCGTCTCGCAGCAATTGCTCCATGAAGTCGCGTTCGTTCACATTCGGGGGTGCCGTGCAGGGCCGATAATATTTGTATTGTAACAATTCACGTGCCCCCATCGCCATCGGAGTGATGTGACGAGCTATTATTTCGTCTAGATCCTCGAACTCATCAGTGCCGATCCAGAGACTGCGTCCTATGCTATATTCATTCTCTTTACCCTCTTCGCGCACATCGATGTGCTGGAAGATGTCGTCGGTCACCTTCCAGGTTGCTGTCAAATGGTCCTTGGACTTGCTTGACGGTCGCAACGCCACCTCACCCTGATCCGCTTCCGCCAGCATAGCAATGACCTCGGCATAAGACTTGTTAAAGAAGCTGGGATGTGCAATGACGCGACGTGCATAGGTCTTTCGTTTAAGAGCCTTGGCTTTGGCATCCGCCACTTTGCGATTGTCCAGCTCCTCGCTGACGAAATCGTAGAAGGCATCGCGACGTGGCCGCCACTCGTTATTCACATCCTTGAGGTCAGCCGTTTTTGAGGAACAGTCGACGGAGAAACGATCAATGTCTATTTTTATAATGCGCACGTGGATCATTTGGCCTACGCGGACACGTTCCTCAGGATTGCGCACCTGTTTATCGGACAGATTCTTGATGTGTATGAAACCAGGCAATCCGTTCTCGAGCCGGACACGCACACCAGACGCCTGACCGGGACATGCATTCGCATCGAAATGATTCCACACCTCGGATAATTCGGGAAAGTCATCCTTGTGACAGAAGGGACACTGCCAGCTATCGCTAGCTTCGATGCGCACAGGATTTGCATTGTCAAGTTGTTCGCCTTGTGGTCGGCGGTATGTGAAACCCGTCACCATTGCCGTCACACATTTGCCCACATAGAAGGAATCGGGCGTCTCCTTAGTCAGCAGATCGAACAATTCCTCGGAGCTCGGCTTCTGATACGGCGAACGATAATCCTTATATAGGGAGCTGAGCTCATTGCGTATGTCATAGAGTGTGATGGACTTGCTGCCAAAGCCCTGACGTTCCAACTCTACGGCAAATGCGTCTAGATCGAGATCCTTAAGTCGTTCCGGGGACTCGAGTATTTCTTCGAGAGCGCCCGCCGGATTTGTTTCCTCATCGTCATACTCCATGGCATCGATGGCCATTTTTCGCGCCCACTCGTATGTCTCGGGATGTACACGCGAACCATCAAGGACCTCCACATAGGCCTCCGTGCTGTCCCCCAACGAGCTCGTATCGATCTTAATAAATCCACTGCAATTTATAAATACCTTCGGTCCCAAATGGCATACAGTGACGAGTTGCGTGCGATTCTCGAGACGTTGATTGCTTTGCTTAAGCAATTTGAGGAGGGCCTGTCCCTTACGTGGACCCAGACCGCAGGTATATTGCAATAGATTTACCGTCCTGGAGTTTTGCACCATCATATTAATGTCTAGACCCACTTCGCTGGTTCGATTTATGAACTCCAGACTCAGCTGCTCCAGCAATGTTTCCTTCGGCACACGTTCTTGGAGTGGATGATAACGTAGACAGAGTATTTCATCATCAGCATCACACAGTTGCGAGTATTCAACGAGCGGATCTTGCATTTTGCGTGCCAATGAAACGGCCTGCTTCAATAGTGGTGGATACTCTTTAAAGTCTGACTCGCCCTTTTTCGAGTTCGCATAAATTTTTGCCAGTTCGTTGTCAATGATTTCCACTTCGATGGGTGGAAATTGTTCGGATGATTCCAGCTCTTTAAGAATTTCTTTAATATCTGCCTGAATCATTTGTGCATCGCGTGACTCGGCACCAATGACCACAATGTGTGGTTTCTTTGAGCGAATAAAATCGCTCAGCTTGCACAGATCGGCCAATTTCAGAGCCTTCTCCTCCGCGTTATGTGAATTCTTGCGCTTGAGTAGGTTTGGTAAACGCAAATAATCAGAGATATCACCCTCTATTGTGGTAACAGCACAGAAGGCAGCTACCGATTGATCCGGATCATAGGCCAATCCTAGAGCGCGAATGCCGCGCAACGTGCTCCACTCATCGTAGTTGTAGTCCTGTGGAAATTCTGGCTTATATGGCGCCACCTTCAACCATTTGTACAGCTTGGCCGTGCAGGAACGCAGGACGAATTGTTGTGCTTCATCGTGAAGTGTGGCCCGCAACTCTTTTATCAGATCTGGAATGACCCATTTCTTTAGAGCCAACTCGACGCACTCGGCACGCAGCGTATTCCATTCTAGAACATGCTTAGAAAACTGATCCAGATAGTATAGGTTCTTGGCCTCTTCCACATAATCGCCAGTGGGTCCATTGGCATTAACATTTCCCTCGAATGTGTCTAGAATTGTCACCTCGAGCAGTTTCTCCTCTTCGGCCATCATTAACTTGATATATTGATCGCCATAGAGATCACCAACTGGTTTCTTCGACACATATTTCATTGGGTAAACCGGAGAATTCTCGTCGATAAGCACCATACCGTTTTTGGTGGGTTTGATGTCAATGCGTGCCCGAGCAAAGAAGACCTCACGCATAGTTTTGCGCAATAATGGTTCCTGGGCCAATTGACGAGCGACTACATATTTGGCTGCATGTAGAACCTCGTCGATGGTCATAAAGCGTGGCGATAGATACTGTTTGGCCAGTTCTGTGGGATTCAAGCTCTCCTGATTCACCTCATTGCGTTGATAATTGTCGCGCAAATTCTCGGCGAATTGTTCGGGAGTTAGGCCAAAGTGTTTGGCAAAGCCACAGATGCCCGCCTTACGGAAGACTGCATAGGGACTACTGTCTGGGGCCTGCTTCAATTGCTCTTCGCCGCTGGCTTCAAATTCGGGCTCATCGTCCTCATTGGGATCTTGGCTGCCGGTGACGCCTTCGCCAGCTCCATCCTCACCATCCGTCTCGGCAGCAGCCAATCTACGTGCTCGGGCTTCTCGACGCTCCTGTTGCTCCTTGCGTTTCAATGCCGCATGCATGTTGGGCAACTCATGCGAATAGTTGAGAAGGAAGTACATGTGCACATCTTTTAGCTCCTCCATTGATTGGACGTCGTTCAAACGTTCGAAGTCGCTGTCCATCATCAAACGGACGTCGTCGGGAATAGGCTTGTCAGGATCGTCACACAGTGTGTCAAGTTGGAACTGGCGCATTTTCTCAAAGAGTTCCTTTAATTTCTTCTTGCGCTCGTTTAATTGACACCAGCGCTCATCGTAATAGTAAACCTTCCAAAGATCGTCAATGTGCAGCTCTGGCTTGACATACTCCTTACGGTAGAAGGCTATAAAGGGTACTTCCAGCTGTTGATTGCGTATAAATTCGAGTGTTTGCTTGATTTTATTAACAGCTGATGGCGGTTTGCGCATCTTTTCGCGATTATCTGCCTTTTCCTGCTCAGAAACAGTCTGTTTGCAAAATGCGAAACGGTAGATCCAATCAGCCTCCTCGTCCAGCTCGTGGGAGCCCTCAGGCACTGGTGTTACAGGCACCTGACGCAATTGCATACGTTCAGGAATGTCGGTTTTGCGTATCTGATTGTCCAGGTCGGTGAAATGGCCACGCTTCAGTTCGCTGGGCTCATAGATATCGAATATGGTCTTTTTGGTAACTTTCTTCTTGAGTGATTTCTTCTTTTTAGCTGCACGGACATCATCACCCATTTCTTCATCATAGTCATCGCCCTCGGAATCATCCTCATATTCATCTTCCTCTGGTCTGGCGAATTCATCGTAGTCGAAATCAACGCCAAATATGTCCTGACCCTCTTGCAATGAGCTGTACATACGAAAATGTTATGGACTCTCAAATTGTTTTTACACAACTTTTTCATCTACTTACGCATCTGTGAATATTGGCCGACGTTTCTTTTTCTTTTCAGCTATCGGACGACCATTATCATCCACTATAAAATCATCGGCATCAGATTCAGAGTCCTCCTCGTCAAATGCATCCGCCTCGCGTGGACTGCGCTCACTGCGGTGTTCAATACTTTGCTAAAATGCGAATATTATCACATTAGCATGAATAAAATATGGCATTAAATAATTTCCAGCTTCTTACCTCATCATTCTCATCGAACAGCTGTTCGGCAATCTGTTCACGTGCCAGACCCTCATCCACATGCTGCTCTTCGCCATCGCTTTCGTTGTCCAGTATTCGTCTCAATCGCTTAAAGCGTTTCTGTAATCCAAAATTTCATCAGTTACGTATGTGTGCATTTGGAAAAACTCTCGCAATGTCTATCACTTACGCGTCTCTCCACTTTAACGCCTAAATTCTCCTCAATTAAATCATAGTCATCATCCTCCAGGCGATCATCCAAATCATCGTCTTCATGCTTTTTGCGTTTCTTGCCACTGCCGCCTTCTTCATCGCCACCACTCCCAGTGTCTGAATCGTCACCGCTTCCATCTTCTTCTTCAATGGGATTGTCATCAATAAGATCTTTGAGCTCTTCGCGCAAACGATCCTCATCGTCTGCAAATGAAATCAAATATTAAGATTGAAACAAATCATGGATGAAAAAACTTGCAGGTTATTGTGTTCACATCGCTATAATTTCAGATTTTAAATAATTTTACAGATAGTGCCTACACACTATAAGTTGACCAAACTATGAATGTAAGAAATCTCTTCTGAATAATACAATTATTGAATTGGCAATGCAGACGCACTTAATCGATTAATCCTGACAATGACAAGCCTAAAATACTGAATTGTCTACAGTCTCTTCAATTTGGCTATATAATGAAATAGCGCTTGCACGCGCATACGGACATATGTACTCATTCATATATACAAAACAAATATACGTACAAACATACATATGTGTATAGAAATAAAGCTATGGCGTTGGGAAAACACAAAACATAACCTCAAAATGGTAAACAAACGTCTGGGCCAGGTATACAAGTAGTTACTTCAATTATTGTCAGACATTGCAAACGTTGGCAGCATAAGAGCAATGGAATTGCTGGGATAACTCCTTCTTGCTCTCAAATTTCGCAACAATGAGCACTTAGGAGTTGTTTCATGGATGTTTTTACACACATACATATCTACGCATTTGCTGTTTTGGAAAATAATGCACTATGCCATCAAGGGATTTACGCACGCACCTTCTTCTTCCTCGCTGCTGTCCGATACGGCCGCTTTCAACTTTTTTAGTTTCTTGCGTTCATGTACATCTAATTCTTCCTCCTCCTGGAATAAAAAATAGGAACATTAGGGAATTGCAATATACGCACAGTCACACACACAAACACACGCGAGGTTGCGGGTAGTACGCGTAGCGAGCAAAAATAGATTTTAGCCGTGTTTACAAAAAGCCAGTGAACATACCTCTGATTCCTCGGCTTCGGAGTCCAGGAAATCAGCCATTTTAATAAATTATAATTAAACTATAGGCTTAAAAACGAATTTAACTAAAACGAATGCACAATAAAATCGCTTGCAGTGTTCACAATAAAAAAACGCAAGGAGAAGCAGATGTGTCAAAATTGTGCACTAGTGTTAGAAAACGTTATACTCTTCTGAAATTAATATTCTGTCGATAGACACAAAATCGAACGATAGCGCAGTTGCGATAGCCCAAGCTGTGCCATCATCAGCGCTAAATATCTTGCAGCATTTATAAGTTCCATTGCCCAAGCGGTAGTCACACAATAAGAATAAATAGGCGGCACCGCTTCGTGTGTTCGCGCAGTACATAACTATATACACACATATACGTATAATTATTATTATGTTTAGTATATTTCGTTAGGTTTAAATGCCGACGCAAGCCAAACATACACATACAAAATTTGCGGCTCTGAAAATTTAAAGTGTTTCCTTTACTTGCGGTGCGCGTGTGCTTGACATTTCGGCGGTCAATTTTGCTAGTGTGTATGTAAGAGTGTGTGTATATTTTTTTCCGCGGTGTGGTGTTGTTGTTGCTAGCTTGTGTGCTGTTTTTTGCTCCACTTTTAAGTGAATATACAAAGGCACACATATGACGACGTTCATGACAAAACCAAATATAAAACCCAAAATTAACAGTCAAGTGCAAAAACAATAAAAAAAATAGCTAAACAAAAAGCCAAATACGGTGTAAAAAGCTAAAGAAACAAAAAAGTATCCTTGGCCTCCTTAACCGACGAAGCGTTCATATATCCCCCGCACAACAACTAGCAACATCTCATCATGGATCTAATCAATAAATTCAGTGATGCATTCTGGAGCACGCATATTTGGCTGCCGCCAAATACAACATGGGCCGATATCGCGCCCGGTTCACGTCCAGATGTTGTCCATGCTGACTATCGTGATCTTATTTGGCCCATTCCTTTGGCCGCTGTGGTCATGCTTATACGTTACACATTGGAGCGGTAAGTCTATACAGTTATTATACATACATATATAAATGTGTGTGAGGTTTTACGCCCTTTTAAGCACTTTTCCAACCGTCCTCATTGCGCGGCAATTCATTAAACTTTATGCGGCGCTTGTGCATTCATGTGTTGTGTGTGTGTGTGTGTGTGTGTATGTTCTTGGGTGTGCGTATGTGCCTGTGTGTATGTGTGTGGGGGTTTTCTTTACTGTAAATTCTCATTGAGCCGCCACCGCTACCATAAAACACTGTCATTGTACACACAGGCACGCCCACACAAAACTGATACATGCATAATGAATATACATGTATGCGTGCATGTATGTACATGTTGCAATGTACAGTAAGCCGACATATCGTCACCACCGCAAAGTATTCATTTTCATTTTATATTTTTTCTGTTATATCTTTTTGCTCTTTGGGCCAAACATAACCTCACGTGGAAACGCCCAACAATTTGTGCGACTGTATAAGTTTGTATATACATACATATATACTTACTTACATATGTATGTATGTATGTATATGTGTGCGCACACGCGTATTTGCTATGCAACTCGCATTACATATAGTCAAACATATAGGTACATATGTATGTATGCATGTATTTATGTGTGCATGGTTTCCTTCTTCATTGATGCGGTCAGTCGCTACTTCTTGATTTCAGTTTGCGCTATGCCTCATAGAATTTCCCACAAAGTCGAGCAAACTTGTATGCTAATGATTTATTTCAATAGTAAAACAAACTATTTGTTTACCTATTTTACATGTGTACACACACTTTGTGTTACTTATGTACATACATAACATACATAGATATGTATGTATGCCATGCACAGTTCAGAGTTGTATGGAGTGGTACGCGAAAAATTGAAAATCTAGGTGAAACATATATACTGTATGTACATATGCATGTATTTTTCTACATGGTTTGAATCAAACAACTGAAAACACTATCCAGCTTCCTTGGGCATAGTTTATATACACATTTGCATACATATGTATTTCATTACAATTCGAAAGTGCTGAAAGTGTGTGTTGGGAATATTTTAAATATTACTGAATTGACGAGGTGGTCACACTCATTTTCGTAAACGGCCAAACTAATGATAAAATTTAAGCCAGACTACGAGTTTTATATAGTACATTATTATTTGTTTCTATTTGCAAAAAGGACAGGGGAGTGTCCACTTAATGGGATACTTAAATACTCTATACACCGATCGAATGTTTTAGAAAAACTATCCGCCGAAGAGAGTGTCCGGATAAAAGAGGTGTCCATTAAGGGAGTTTTCACACACTTTATATGAAATGCATTTTCTATGGATATACTTACATATGTATGCATCGATAGTTCCTTATTGCAATTCTCAAAATGAACCTCCAATTTCAGTTTATTAGGAGCTCGCGTTTTTTGAGAGCTTTGCAAAATTAAAACTTTATTTATACTACGGAGGTGTTGGAATTAGGGTCAAATTATTTTTATAGTCGTTAATACTTTTGTTTAGAATAAATAATATTGAAAGTATATTCAGATGACAATTCTATATTTTTTAAATAGATACTTTGGTATTTTAACAACAATAGGTTCTACTGTGCCTAAGACCTTTGCAGCTTTTTAGGGCAATTAACCTGCGCGTCGTTTGGCTTTACCTACACATCAGCGCTCTGGTTTGTAGCTCGCGCGACCGTGTAAATATGTACATATGTATGTACATATGTATGCATGTATTACACACTAAAGCATGCATGGGAGTGTGAATAGCGTGCAACGAACAGTTGGATTTGCATGTAAAGTAAATATGTAGTTATAAATTGCATTGTTACAAAATACCTTTGTTTTTGCAATGGACGGGAAATTACCTGTCCCATTTACCGTTGTATGCGACGTTTCGGTCAGTGTTGCTAAGTTTTTAAATTTCAATTACACGCCATTCACCTTTTGTGACATTTTTTTTTAATATTTTACATCGATTCGTATTTGAAAATAATTTTAAAACGCCCCAAAATATATGTATGTTTGTGGTAAGTTCATATGTACAACATTTCAGATTCATGGCTGTCCAGTTTTCGATTTCGTTTCTTTTTTCTCTATTTCGGCAACGCGTTCTCAAACGAGAATTACTATTCAGGGTCGCCCACAAACTATGAGTAGTGGTGGTGTTTTGCTTTTTATTGATATTTTGCATTTTAAGATATGTTTATATGTATGTGTGCATTTATGTATGTATATATATAATATACAGATGTACATATGTATGTATGTATGCTTTGTGATCAATATCTAATAAAGCGGCAGTTATTTTGCATACCCTGTACGCGAGGGCAAAAGGTTATTATGACATCGTTTTTTGGCAGACCCCTTCAAAGCATACATACATATGTACGTAACTTGTAGTACATTCTTTTGTTGTACTATTTTATTTGTCTAGATTTTAGTAGGAATACCATTATTATTTGTATTTTATTATTTAGGATTAAATGACTTTAAAACTGAAAAATTAAATTGTCATATTAAATTAAATTAAGAATTGAGAGCGTGCAACATGCGACCCGTTTTTATTTTACTTTGACAACAAAAACAAAAACTGAGGATCATCGTGCACACGCTGGTCATTCGTCAGTAGACCTCCTCCTCCTACCTGCCTATCAGGCTGCGCCTTGAGCGCGAATTCCTATGATAAGATTGGAGAGTTTGCGCGCTCTCTAAAACTTCTGCGTGTTATATTTGATAGTGATAGTGTTATCTGTATTGCTTTGCTGCTTCAGAAGGTGTGAGTGTGTTTGTGCGCATAGATGTTGTGTGTCATGCATGGCTGAGTCACTAATACACCTCCAAATGGTGTGTGACTCAGTTACTCACCTTCTGCGCTTTTACGATTTTGATGTTAATTGATAGCCTAAGTTTTTTCAAATATGCGACTTAGTTTTTATTAAATTAACTTCCTATTTGCCCATTGATATTTGGTGTATTTACATTCTTATGAGCAATGCACATAATGTACGTATCTATAACCCCAAGGTTTGACTTTTAAACGTAATCTCAACTTTGCCGTCGCATATCATTTAAGGCAGATGATTGCGCGCGCGATAAAATTTAAAGCTAATTATTTAAATGGCCTCACACACACACAAACACCCATGCATTGTTGCTTAGAGGCGAAATCTAATCACAGCCGTTTGTTGGCGTTTGAAGCAATTGTGTAACTACTTATGCGCATTGTTCAGATTTTTTTTGCACTGGAATTCCAAGAATATACGAATATGTATGTATGCATACATATGTATGTTTAAACATTGTGCCTTCATATTTATGTACATATGTGCATATGTATGCACATATGTATGTATGTGTGTATATGGACGCCTACCGCGTTTAAAAAGATGATCTACCAATGCTTAAACCTAAAACCAAACTCGTTTCTTCTGCTCGCTTTTTTGTTTATCGCTTTTAACTGCCTTCTGTGTGTTGCTTAACGCCGGCAGCTGAAAAAGAAAACGCACGTGCTTTACGCACCAGCTCGTAATCGTTCCACGGTCGATGGCGACGTGTGAGAGAGGAGGGGTAGTGGTCGTTCGCCATGACTGTTCTGTGTTTGTGGAGTGATTAGGGGGTGCTGTGGTTTGGCTTAAGTGCACAATTGTTCAATTCCAATTAACACACACTTGCAATCAGCTGCTAAGCGCGATAACAATACACACATATGCAAAACTATCGATAACAATAGCCAATCCTCGGCACTTGTACAAGTATATTAGCCAGCATAATATCCCCACACATTCATATGTACATGTAATTTTTGATTATGTGTACATTCCATACATATTTGCTGCAGTTAGTCATGTGCATAAAATACATACATATAAATATTCTTGCTTGCATGTATTTATGCATTGTATAATTGTACAATCATTTGCGTGTTGAATTATCATTAACAAGCGAAAATAAATCCGCACGCAGTCGCGAATAACGTATGACATGTGTTTGTTCGTATGTGTTTTCCCATACATACATACATACATACACACATTCATGTGCATGAGCGATTGTGCCAGCGATTGATAACAGCAAAGCAATTGACATTTGTTTTTGTTGTTACTGCTGCTGCTGTTCTTAATTCTGCATCCCTCCTCGTCTTCTTAGATGCCCGTTGACTGTTGACATGCCGATTGTTGATTTTGCATTTTAAATGCCTACATACATTGTATGTATAGTAATGTATATATGTAGGATTTGTATTGGTAATGTTGTTATCACTCATTCACTCAGTGACTAAATTCGTGGAATTAAAGGCGACAATGCAGAGAACAATGCATACGCTTACTGCTTCCATCAATAAACATTGACATCATGTACATATTTACATTTATATGTGTTTAAATTTTCTTTGTCTTCACTAAACGTTTAAATACCGTGAACCGACTCAAATCATTTTTCAAACGTTAGCTTTGTTTTTAAATAAAGTGCAATAAAGGACCTCAACAATAATTTGTTTGCAGATATGTATATGTACATACATATGATTAGAAATGCTGGTAGGCCGACACCGCAGTTAAAATACAATAATGCGTATTTAATGAGGAAAATTTAAAAGTCATTAATTGTCATTAATTGTCTTTTCATGTGTATCACAAGGAGTCTACTTTTAAAGGGGCATAAGCTGAAAACAAATGCATCCAATGCACTTTACAATCAGTTATTGTAACTAATATGTAAAACGAAAAACAAATCGGACACGCTTCATAAAAATTCTATACAAATGAATCAGTCGCGTAATTCGCTTGAAAACATTTGAAACGCAGCGAAGCTCAATACTATTCGGTTTCCACTCATGCAGGAATAAAGTAATTAAGCACTACATACAAGTATGTATATACATATGTATATGTTTAAATTTCAATATATTTGAAAGATCAAAGAGAATAGCATTGCATTGAAAAATTGCATATTGTATCAGAAGTTTGAAATACTGACTTTCCTTACTATGTATGTATGTTATATGCCTAGAAAAGCTTAAAAGACCGACTACTTTCACAGAAAATGATATCTTTCTGAATAGGCGAATTATGTATATATTTTCAGAGACAAATTATTTAGCTATCACAAAAGGTTTAGAATTAACTGCTTATGGGTTTAAAAAGTGCCTCTACACATGCATGTGACAAATCATTATAATGGCTACACCTTCAAGACTACACAAATTATCTAAAATGTCGCAATGGCGTGCCTCCCGCAATTGTAATGCGGAGGTGCAAGTGAATAGCATGGCACCTAATCGATTGTTGTCGTTAAGACTGAAGCCAATTATATCAAGATCTTAAATGTAAATTGGCACTGTAATTTGATTTGATTACACAAATTTATTGCAGTGACTTGTGATTCGCCCGCCACAAACCACTTGTGATTATGCTTAGTCGGCCGCTCGACATTTGATATGTTATCGATGGGGCAAGGGTAATGCCCATTATAACAATTAAGTTCATGTGCGAGTAAATACATATAATAATCCGAATCGGTTGGCGCCTTTATAGTGTCGATAGCTTAAAATTTGAACGATAAGCTTGTTAAATATGGCACATCTGGTTGAAAATAACAATGTTTTGATGTATTTTAAAACCAAACATTGATTATCGGCTTCAAAATATGCTCGCTTTGAACATGCTAGCTAAGGCAACTTTTTACATAGCTGTGTTACTTCAAGATGTTCACAATCACATATCTACATACATGCTAGTAACTCTTTCTTTACTCTATATGTATTATGTATGTTTAAAAATTAAACCATCTGGTTAAAAAAAAATGCTGAAATTAATATTAATTTTTAAATTAAATAGATAGCTTAGTCGTTGAACTGCCAATGTCCAGTTTACGAAAAATTTGTATAGGCATTTAATACTGTGTATTATTCATATAAATATGTATTGCTATTAATATTCAAGATTTACGTCAATCGGTCGTCTTTTTTTTTTATAATTACCAAACAATTGTTGAGTTACGTACATTTTTTTTTAGTGGACATAACACGCATATCCAACGACATAATTGGTTTGTTCAAGGGGTGCGGGATGGCCGATTCACATTATAAATTTATTACTCGTGCCCAGCAAAACAAAGTGTAGGGGCTTCTCAAGCCTCAACATCGTCATACATACATGAATAATGTAGCCCGCATTATTATTTAATTAAATCAGATTCAACAAGCAATTGGTTTCCTATTCAGTCAGCTCAAAATTATTGATCGAATTAAATAATTGTTTCGTAGTTATTGGATTGACACCAAGAACGAAGAATGAGAGCAACACGCCACCCATTTGAATTATGAAAATGGCTTAAAGAAATGCCTAATAGTGGAAGATATTTTGAATTTGAAGCCTGAGAAAAATGATTAGATAGGCAAAAAATCCATGAACTGGTACATTAATTTAAGAAAACATTTTTTATTTATTTATATACATAGCTTAAAAGTAAGTAAAACGAAGCTAATTACCTATACATACATATATAGTAAAGAGATTTTATAATTTTTGATTGATTCATTTATATAGAGGAGCTGTTAAGAAAGCTATAGTTCATGTATTATATTCCATTTCATATCATAAGAAACTTAACAAGCTTTCCCACCAAAATCGGAAGTGCAACTGAGGTAGTAGCTGGTTTTTGTGATTGTGACGGGATCAAGAAAGTGCTTGTGGAATGGTCTAGTGAAGGCGATTGAGTTCTGAAAACTCACGTCGATTTAGCCCAAGATCTTATCATACTCATTGATGGTTGTTTTGTGTGGAAAAAATCAGGGACTGTAATCATTATAAGTGTTATTAAAAAAATTACAAAATAATGATTATTTTTATAGCCAAAGGGTGAAGGCTATACTAGTTTTGTGCGCATGTATGTAACACACAGAAGGAGGCGTGGCAGACCCCACAAAGTATATATATTCTTGATCAGGGTGATAAGCCGAGTCGATATAGCCATGTCCGTCCGTCCGTCTGTCCGTCCGTCTGTATGAGCGCAAGGATCTCAGAAGGTACTAGAGCTAGAATAACCAAACTCGGTATCCAGATTCCCATAAGCCCTAGGCAGGTGAAGTTTATTTTTTTATTCTGATACACCCCCCCCCCCACTCCCCCGCAATTCGTGTTTTTTTTTTCATAACTCCCGTAGTTCTTGGAATTTCGAAGTGATTTTAAAAATAATTAATTAATAATAGCTTAATAGGTAATTAAAATTACAGATAAGCTATGGAATAGTTAATTAAAAATTAATTAATTAAAAATGTTCCCATTGACTCACTGATTAAGGATATATATAAATTTTGTCCTTAATCCTTATGAAACACAAAATTTCAGCTTGAAAGAATAATCATTATTTTATAAGTTTTATTTTTTTGCTCATCAATAATGATTATTGGTTAATTTTTAAGGTAAAACTCAAAATTAATCATTAAATTGTGAGCGAATGAATACAAATTAAAATTTATAAATCATGGTGAAAATACATAGATAATCCTTAAAAAGGATGTCAGTAAATTCCTCGCTTTCCAAAAGTTACTATAAGTGAATGATTTTTTCGTTTAAAAAAAAAAAACGAAATAATCATTATTTGCGGTCCCTGGAAAAAATTGATGTTGAAAATGTGATTTTCTGGATCTAATGATGTCTGGGATATGGTAATTATTCTTGGCAATTAGTGGGTATTTAATCGCGTCGGCTTTTCCGTTTCCTCCTTTATTGTAAATGAGGAGAACTCGGAATATAAATTGAAAGCCTTATGAACCTATCTACTGGATTAAAGAGAAATCCAATGATTTTGCTTTCTAACAGCTTCAGATATAGATACAATTTTAAGTAATTGAATTTTTAAAGTCTATTGAACAACTCTACTGGAATACTATAAATGTATAATCTAGTCTTTATCACTTGTAGTATTTAGTATTTCAATACCTAAAGAGATTTATTTGGAGTTGATATGGAATTAATTATGTGATACATTTGTACGTAAGTGCAATACTTATTTGTTTGATGGCACTATCCAATATCTGGAAATTGTCTTCCTCCATCCTATGCCTACGGAATTCTATTTACATATTTCAATTCTTTTTGTTTTTGGAATTGTGTTTTGCATACGAAATTGATTATTTAGAATGCGAAACGCGTGAGTCCACGTTGGGTGCGCGAGCAGTTCAGCATTTTTGTCGTCTCTCAGGTGGTGCGATGGCGGGGGGATACTGGCGTTATTAGCAAAATAAACTTCCGAAAAACTGCCCCTGCGCCTCCCTCCGTTCCAGGCACTTTGTTATGCAGGGTGCGAAAACGTGCGCCGTTGCCATTCTTCACACGCGCCAGACAATAGTTCTTGGTCCCCTGGTCCATAATTGGGGACTGGGATTTTATTTGTATTAAAATGCGATGCGCTTGTTTACATGAAACGCGACGCAATTATACAAACAAATTGTGGTCTAGCCACTCAGGGCAAAAAACAAATGGGTTCCTGCTTTTGTTGCCAATTTATAATTTAATGGGGAAGATGGTGATGATGGTCGTAATTGGAGTTTCTGTTGCTAGGAGGCAGGTGTTGCCAAGCCATGGCATTAAAATAAACAAACCCAGGTAGCACTGTTAAAGAAATTTGAACCCATCTAGTCATATTTCAAAGCAACAAATAGCTCAAACGAGCACGTGGATTGCATTGTTATGATCTAATTACTTGTATGTAGGAATGTAATCCTAATCGCATATACAATAATGCTCGAACTCTTCCATTTCTATTGCAGCTTTTGGATATCACCAATTGGCAAATCGTTGGGCATACGTAGTTCTAGACCTAAGAAAGCAGCAAATGTTCCTATTTTAGAGACGGCATATGCCAAGTCCTCGCGTTTGGACCACAAGTGGGTGAGTACAAAGGCAAATCAAAAGCATGGGGAAGGAGGGGGGTTTTTATTTGAATAAAAGATCTCTCTAATCTTGTCATTCATTGGTTTCTTCGTAGCTGGCTCCGCTGTCCAAACAGACGGACATGACGGAACGTCAAATTGAGCGCTGGTGGCGATTGCGAAGGGCACAGGATAAACCCTCCACATTGGTGAAGTTCTGTGAGAATACCTGGCGATGCCTATACTATCTATATAGTTTTATATTTGGCGTCATTGTCCTCTGGGATAAGCCATGGTTTTGGGACGTGAAGAGCTGTTGGTATGGTTATCCGCATCAGGTGTGTGTGCTGTTCATAAAAGTATACAAAATATGCCTCGATATATGCTATAATAAATCGCATTTATTGTACAGTCTGTGACGAGCGACATCTGGTTGTATTATATGATATCCATGTCCTTCTACTGGTCACTAACCGCCACGCAATTCTTTGATGTGAAACGCAAAGACTTCTGGCAAATGTTCATACATCACATGGTCACCCTATTGCTAATGTCGCTCAGTTGGGTCTGTAATTTGCACCGCGTTGGCTCCTTGGTGCTGGTCGTCCACGACTGTGCCGACATCTTCCTGGAGGCAGCGAAGCTTACCAAATATGCCAACTATCAGAAGCTCTGCGATGCCATCTTTGCCATATTCACGGTTGTTTGGATTGTTACACGCCTGGGCTTTTATCCGCGCATCATCTACAGGTAAGATATCAATTTTTGAACTAATATTTCAAATTCAATTGATCCCAATATATATATCCGATTTTGATTGCAGCTCATCTGTGGAGGCGCCGCGTATATTGCCGATGTTCCCAGCCTATTATATCTTCAATGCGCTGCTTCTGATGCTGCTGGTGCTGCACGTCATCTGGACATATATGATTCTAAAAATTGTTGTGGACTCTCTGCAAAAGGGTTTGGTGAGTAAAGTAGATCTTCTTCTTCTCCAATCAAAGATTTCCTTTGCCATTTGGCGCTCCGTCCGACCTTCCAGAGCTACCTTTTAGATGTATACCATTAAACTAATCCTGACTTCTGTACTTCCTCAGATGTCCGGTGATATACGTTCCAGTGATAGTGAAGATCTCACAGATAGTTCGGAGAATGTGCGTGTTGCCAATGGATCGACGCGGTCAAAATCGAAGTCGAGTGCAGCAGCTGCCACAGGGACGGCTGCCACGCCCACAGTTACACAGCGAAAGCAGCACAGCAACAGCAGCCGCAGCAGCAGCAGCAACAGCAACAACCACACAGCAACGACTGCAACAACACCAACAACAACGACAGAAACCACAAACTGATGGAGAAACAAAAAGTTAAAATGCAGCAAACGCAACACCAATCAGTAAATGGATTGAAATGATGAAGAAACAAAAACAACAGCAACAACAACAACAGTAGCAGCAGCAGCATCAGCAACAACCACAACCACAACAACAAATCGACAAAAGCAACAACAACAAGAACCACAAAAAACCAAACCAGTTCAGAACGTTTTATGTTAATTTTTATTTTTATATATTATATAATTTTTTTTATCATAAATAATTTGGAATAAATACGAGAAAACCTACATATGCGCGATTGCGACTATGATTCTTATTTTGTTTGTATAATTTGTATTAGGGATCAAATTATATATGTATACAAATTCATTATATACAGTAAAGTAATTAAGTTAATGAGATGACGGATTTCGTTTCCAAATTGTAGTCCGATTTATTTTCTGTTTGACCAAAATTATATAAAAGTAAAATAAGAAATTGAAAGACAGCATAAGAGGTACATATATGTATATGTATATTTTAGCCAAGCAAATGGAACTAGCAATACTTATTGTATGTGTGTGCGAGTGTGTTTATTACAAGGAAACAGAACAACAAATAACACCAGAAAGATGACTTCTAGTTACAATGCTTAAATGTTAAACAGCATCAGCGCTAATATAATAATAACAGCAATAGCAAGCACTCCGGCGCACTGCTATTTACATAAATGATAAAATTGATAGTCATACATACCAATAAACAGAACATATATTTAAAAAAAAAGAAATAAGAAAATATATATATATATTTATTTTTTAATTAATATTTGCATACTAAATAAAAACCGCTATGAGATCGCTTTGGCAAACATATTCAAAACTATTAATTACATATTGTAAATATTGTATGTTTACGTTTCCAAATTATAAACCAAAACAAATAGTTGTATGCTAAAAAAGTATTTGATTGAGAAGTTTAAAAGAAAACAAAAGAAAAAATGAAAAGCGAAACAGTAAATTAGAAATTTTATTAAATGAAAACCCAGTCTAACGAAATTGAATAAAATGAGTTCTAAGCCAACACGAATCGCTTTTAATTTATTTGACATTCCTGCCTTCATTTAATGCTGCGAGTTATGCTCGCCAAAGGATTTTTGGACCCAAACCAGCTCGGAATACGGATTTTTTCCAAAGTGAAAGACAAAGTGCAAGGTGGTGATATTATTAGATTTAAAAATTGTGTGAAGGGGCATACTAAAAAGATAGAGTGGCGGTTTTTGGCTTATTACTTTTGGTGCTGCATTTAAAAACAGATGTCCAAACATATTTGAAAGTTAATTTAAAATCGACTAATTAAAGAATTTCCCCGGCTAAAAATAAATTGTCTTGAGTTCCTCCTAGCTGTTTAAATATTCAGCAGTACTTTTTAGCAGTTTGTTGAAAATGTGTGTTGATTTAGAGACCCCTTGGAAAGGCATTTCAGTTTTAAGCAATCTTCTGCCTCTTGAACATGATGTGAAGCGTGCGAGCGAGACGGCTTATTCCGGTGTAAGCGAGAGAGTAATAAAACGCTTCTTCAGCACACGTTACACATTTATAAAATGTATTGTGTATTTTATTAGCTCGTCTAAATTGCTATAACTACGACTTGTACATTTCTTATAGTTACATTAGTACTGATAGCCATCTGGCTGGTAGGGGCGTGCAAAAGGGGCCGGCGCGAATGGCACAGGTGGTGGACGCCAATTGGCTTGTGGCGGGCGTGGTGGTGGCGCGGGAATGCCGGGTGGTGCCCAAGCGTTTGGTGGCTGCAGCATGCGTGGTGGTGGTGGGATGCCCATCGTCGGAGGCAGTGGTGGTTGTCCGCCCCCCATTGGCGGCAATGGCGGTGGTGGTATCGTTGCTGGAAATGGAGTAGGCTGCGGCACGGGCGGTGGCGGTGCTATCATGTTTAAATTTTGATTTGAGACAGGCACCACTGGCGGTGGTGGTGCCATCAAGGGTGGCGGTATCATTTGACCAGGCATAACCGGCATTATATTCTGTACAGGCGCATCGGCGAACAGCTGATGTGGACGATCTGCGTGTGCCGAGGGATTCTGGGCAGCCAGTAAACGTTCTGCAGCAGAGCCGTGGCGTTCGCCCTTGGAATCCTTTTTAAAGGCATAGGAAACCGAAATTGGACGATTGCAAAGATATTGTCCGTTCATGGCGTCCATGGCAGCGTCACTAGCCTCGAAACTGGCGAAATTTATGAACGCAAAACCTCTAGAGTTGCCCGTTTCGGGATCACGCATAATTTTTGGTGTTTGAAGTATAACGCCAAAGGCAGAGAATGTATCGTACAGGAGTTTCTCGTCCACCTCTAGATCTAAATTGCCAATGAATATATTAGCGCCAACATCCAGATTCTTTTGATGCGCCGATGCCTTATTCACGCGTATAGGCTTGCCATATAGCTTGATCATGTTCATAATTTTAATAGCATAGTCGGCGTCCTCCTCGCTTAGGAATTCCACGAAACCATATCCCTGATGCATTTGTGTGACGCGATCCTTTGGCATGTGCACAATAACTGCAAGTGATTGCATAGTTAGTCAATGCTTAAGTTACCGAAATAAATATCAACCGCTCACCAACTGGACCGGCCTGCACAAACAGCTCCCAGAGCAATGTTTCGGATACTTTGTCGTCCAATCCGCCGACATAGATTGTGGCATCTGCAAGCGTTTCGGATTTGTGTTAAAAGTGCAATACCAAAATACTTCAAATACTTGCTCACCTTGATTACGTTCGGCAATGGGACCTGCGGCCATTTTAGAAGAATAATATTGTTATTTTATATGTATTTTCTTAAATATTTATTAATATTTTCCACACAAGCGGCAACTATTCTTCTTCTTTATCTTTGTGCAATTCAGTCCGAGCAAAAAACAAATGCCGCCTGTGGTAATGAACATGTGCAGTACTGCAAAACAGCACAAATAATCGAATGATCCAACGGATTGATGACAGCAAAGGACTGATAGTCGATTGCATTGCAATCGATAACTATATGGCCTACATTTTTATGTAATGTCACTCATCACTTTGTTGTCGTTTGTTAAAGGAAGAAAATATCGTGTTAGAAACCAAACCAAAGAACCAAGAATACTACTTTGTGCGCTGTGATGTGATATTCAATTGTAAAAAATAATGAATTGTCATCAAATCCTAAGTGGTGCCTGCAATGCAGGTGACCGGTGCTTCGCAATTGGCTCCGTGGAAGGCATACCTTTTACAGTAAGAATATGAGTAGCCGTAGCCAGTTAGTTTTTCAGTGCGTTTTTTTTATCACGCATGCATCATATTGTTCAACCCACACACAAACACATTTGCGTACCACTTGCAAATTCCAATTGGAATATCTGGCAGACAAGCTGGCGCATCGCAAAAACTCACACTCATCTCACTCAAGCCTGTGGTCGAGAAACCAATCGTTACCAGAATCACTAAAAACAGCAACAAACAAACACTCATCATGTCTTAATGTTTTTATTTACATACTTGTACATGTATGTATATAAATTTGTACATGTACACCATAAATAAAATATGATCTGCCTATGGCATATGTGACTTGTGTGTATGTTTGCATACACACAATTCGTATATATCTATATACATATTCGCCACACTCGTGGTCAATTAAATCAAATGCAAATGATGAGATAGAGAATTTTGTGTGTAAATTCGATAACAACAACAAACGTTCTGTCTGGCTATGTACATGTATATGTTTTGTATGCATGTGTGTGTGGATACACACTGCTGTTTGTGCGTATGGGTGTATTTATAGGCAATGAATTGGGCGACAAAAATGTTGATAATTGCGTGGAACTGTTAAGATGTTGTAGCACGATAAAAAGAAAGGGGCCACTTGCCGTTTTCAAACCGTTTCAATTAAAGAACACACACACATTTTTATATATACGTATACATATGTATGTATGCGTGTGCATGTGTTTTTTTCAGCTATTAATTACATTTAAAGGTCAAGTGTTGACAATAAACAAACCTCTCACGTTATGCTCAGAAGCATATGCATATCATTGCATTTACATACATACATATGTATGTACATACATATGTGGGTATATATGTATATAGATGTATACACACGTGTACCTACACATTATAAGATATGTTCATGTGTACATACATACATGCATATCCACACAATTCGATTGGTCAGCTGGTCTGTTGTGCCCTACATTTGCACTCGTACATACATATGTATGTATGTGCATGCATATATACATACATACGTACATATGTAACTAAATACATACATACATAAGTACAGAAACCCTTTTTACCCTTCAATTTGCAATGTGACCAAAAAAAGAAAGTCTGACTATTAAATGGAGAAATAGCGCTATAAAAACACGCAAAAAGTCGTGTGCATGCATTAATGATGAGAGCTTTTGGATTTTACGATCTGTCACACACATGAAATATTAATTATTTTTAAAACATGGGCGGCACTCCCCCAGTTCAGAGAAGAAAAGCAGCCGCATTAATTTGTTGTACTTGCGAATTACTTTCAATATATATGTACATACATACATAGGTATGCTGGTATATATTTGCAAACACACACATTTAGATATAAATGTATGTATATATATAAATGTACATACACACATACATATATAGAAGTATGTGCATAACTGCACATTTCTCTATTTGCCATTGTAACAAGTGGTGTCAGTCTCATTAAACATTCAACAGCTGGGCAGGCGGAATGCTTTTTGTAATAAGCCCTTGCCAATGTTGACATTGCCACCCATTATTCATTTATTTAATTATAATTACGGCACCACAAACTATTTGTGGATCCGCATTTGCATTACTAAATAAATTGCTGGAGGAGTGAGGAAATTGAGTGAGTGTACCTGGAAAGGATTTCTATCGATAGTAACAACGAAAATCGACGGCTTCAATGGTATCGATTCATGTTCTTTTTAAAATGTACACATATATTGAGTATAATGACACTTAATTATAACAACAAATTGTTATAATGAATAAACTCGTAAAAGAGAAATTTGCAGCTGTCCAATTTTAAATTATCCATACACAATTAGAATTGTTGCTGGTGAGTTTCATAGCGAGCAGCTTTAATTGCTGTATGTGTAGGCAATTTACCGTTACACCTGTTTCAACTACTCAACATTCCTTCCTACATACATATTTACATAATACATATGTATGTACAAACACAATTCATAAACGTGATATCAAAAAGCACAGAAAATAAATTATAGAAAAGAATTCGGTTAATATATGTAACTATGTCGAGCATTGCCATTTAATGATAAGCTCTGTATTATCATTTTGAGTTAATCATCAACGGGGTTGCTTTAATTCTGATATGATAACATACGCACTCTACTATTATAATTGCAGGCATACGCGGCTGGCTGCAATGTTGTCATACTTGCAAGCACCTTCGACCGTGTCCAGATCATACCTGGCGCGAATCATGGCTACGTTAAGATTTCGGCCCTGGACTGCAGCACCGATACCGGTAAAATAGCTGCTGCCTATGAGAATAAAATTTGCATTTTCGAGCCTACGCCGGTAATTGAGTCCAGCAAGCATAACACCCACTTTCTGGACTACAGGTAAATAAAGATGAGACCATAGAATCAAGAGAATTTAAATGCATTCTAGAGAATAAAAACATCAACCATACTTGTATATTGAAATTCAACTTTTCAATAAAAATTTTCCAATTGATTGCATTGCTTGCCTCGCAGGTGGGTTCAGACTGGATCGTTTACCAGCCACTCGAATGTGGTGACGTTATCTTGGAATTTGGAGGGTACACGCCTACTAACAGGCGGCACCAACATACAGTTATGGAAAAGCAAATCCCCAGCGCATCCGCATGAGGAGGAGCATACAGGTAAATAAATTTGTGCTTGGAAAGAAATTGCGCCTAACTAAATAATTAAAATTTATTTGCAGCTGTCAAATTCGAGATAGGCGAGAGCAAGGAAACCAAACAAACACCTAACGCCGGGTCGGATGATGTCTCCACATGGGAGAACATTTGGTCCTGCCAAACGGCCATACCCATTTACCACATGGCATTTAGTCCCGATGGCACACTTTTTGCCACCTGTGGTCGCAACGACAGACTGGTCAAGATCTGGTATGAGAACAAACAAGTGCTCTTTCCAGCCAAAGGCAACGCCAAAAGCACCAGCAACAACAACAGCTCCTTCAACGCCAGTGAGGATGGTGGGGGCCTTGGGGGTGAATTAAACTTCACATACGTTTACATTGCACATCCGCGTGCCGTCTCTAATATTGTCTGGCGCAAGACTAGCAAATATATGCCCAAGGGCTCGGTGGCCAATATGTTGGTGACCTCGTGTCTGGACAATATTTGCCGTATTTGGATTGAAACAGTGCTGCCCGATGATGGGCTGGTCAATATGACGCAATTTGATCCGTTGGCCTCACAGAATCCCAAGTTCCGAACGCATCGGCATAAACATCGCTTCATGCAGAGACTAAAGCATATGAAGACTTGCTTTCATCTTCGCCGGCACATGAAAGCGGGCGCTAATGCCACAAGCCAGAGTAGTGGTGGCGGCACCGGTGGCGGGGTTGGCACAGGCATTGGCTCCGGCTTGGGAACAGTAGGCAGCCCACCGGCCAGTTTTAGTAACTATCAGGGTCCCATACCATCATTGCCATCCTCGTGCAGTGTCCACGACTTTCATTCGTATGGCTTTCACGGGTCTGGGGTGACACCTGGCATGCATTTTCATTTGGCCGCCAGCATTAATGCCGAAACGGATATACCGCTCGTGCCGTCCATGCAAACTTCGGATCCGGCCAATCAGAATGTCTTTATCTTGCACTGGCTGAACAATAAGGAGATGCACTTCACACTGCAGGCAGAGGCCATATTGCAAGAGTTAACCAAAAAGGTAATCGACGAGGAAAATGGCGGTGGACATGGCAGTGCCGGCAACGCCTCCACTGCTGGTGGGGGCGGCGTAGACATACCCGATGAGGCGGCACATAAGAAGTTTATTCGTGCCGCCTCTAAGTCCGTATCAGTCGATGACAGTGGTGAAGAGTACAGTAAATATTCTCAGCATACGGCTGGCACAGGTGCTGGAATGCATCTGAACTCAATGTCCAATACAACGTCGCAAAATTCGCTGAACAACGACAACCATAATCCGTTGCCACAACTGGTCGATTCGCTGGATAATAAGATTGAATGTCTACTGCGCGATTGGCATCAGAGTCCAGACTTACTCTTCGCCATACATCCAGTAGATGGCAGCTATTTGATCTGGGTCATCGAGTGGCTGGATGATTACTATCCTGGATCGTTTCGGCAGGCGCAGGTTTCCTTTTCCACACGCATACCTTCGGCCTTTCCGCTTGGCGACGCCATGTCCATGTCCACTACGGTCAGCCTCTTCAATACGGGCTCGCATCCATTGGCCTTTCGCGACATTGCAAATAATGTGAAGAGCAAGGATGAGTTTCATAAGAGCGGAACGGACGATGGTTCCATTAAGAGTGATCAGCACTCCAGTACAACATATGAAAAACGCGATGAGGATGCCGATCAAGATGATGGCGCAGGTGATACAGATGCTGGAGCTGATCACAGTGTCGCAGCAAGCAGTGGCGAGAATACGACCACACAGGATGCTTCCGGCGCACTACCATTAAATGTCTCACCATCAGTGTCGATGGTGACCAAGCACTCCAATGGCACTCTGAATCTATGGCAACTGACCTTTGCCTTCAAGACAAAGTTCACTCAAGTTCTGAGCATTGGTCACGTGAGTCGGGCCTCTGGACATCGTTTCCGTGTGAACGACATCACCTGCCATCCGGTGTTGCCCCTTCTTGTCTCCACATCGCATCACAATTTGCCCGATTCGGAGACCAAATCACCGATGTCACCATTTGAGCAACCACTAGCTGGTAATGCCGGTGGATCCAATTCCAGCAATGGTGAAAAAGATATTTTCACGCCTACCGGCTTTTGCTCCGAGCTGATTCTGTGGCGTGTAGACTCGGTGGGGCCACTCTGTCATTCTGGTGGCGTTAGCGAGCTGGCACGAATTAATTCGCCCGAGATTTCGGCCTTCAGCAACGTGGCCTGGATACCAACACTGTTGCCAAGCACCACCTTGGGTAGCTACAGCAATTCACCCTCGGCTTGTTTTGTTGCCAGCGATGGGGAGAATTTGCGCGTCTATCAGGCTGTGATTGATGCACGCACTTTGCTAGCCGAGATCTCATCATCCGAAAACCTAAACACTTTGCACAAATCGCATTCGCTGTCTTCGATGATCTCGAATGCATCGTCAACGATGAAAGCGCACCGTTCGGCCCTGCACGACAAGCTGAAGGTGGTATCTCAGCAGTCGACTGCGCGACCAGGCTGCATTCTCCAGTTAGATGCTATATCGGAGGCCAAGCATGATTGGCAAAACACGCAGTTTTTGCATGTGTTCCAAGCCCAGCTCATAACGGGTGGCCAACGTGCATCAACGTCTGACGCTCACGATCTGGAGGAGCCTAAGATGAATGCCTTGCTCGAATCGGATATGGATGCCATTGTGGACTTACAGCGCAACGCAGATTTTGAGGAGCCCTTCTATATTGTGAACATCGAAAAGACCCTGCGAGGCAGCACAATTCACATGTGGTGCATTGTCATCTCCTCAAAACAGCAATCTTCGTTCCTCTCCGAAACTGCAATGTATGTTCCCGACAGTAATTTGACACAGGAGCCGGATGAGAATGAAGGCGGTGGTGGGGCACGTCGCATGTCCCAAGGAGCTGAGACGCTGACAGGTGCTGAGCACTTTGGTGCGCATGTGGAGGCGCCGCATATTTCCATAACAACTAAAAAGGTGTGCACACAGGAGCTGCCACTGCCCGAGGGTGTCGACGTGATACACGCCTCACCAGCGGCGGGCCATCTGAGCTCCTCCTCCATTTATCCAGCTTGTTTTGCACCCTACATTATTGTAACTGCTTGTTCGGACTCGATTTCACGGTTCTGGAAGTGTGAGCCCGTGAATGATGGTGAAGCGGAAGGCGATGCCTATCGCTGGTCCGAATGGAAGATGTTTAGTCGTATCCAAGAGTCAGCCATTGAAATACCCGGACAGCCATTAAACATCAGTGCTGCTTATTCCGGACGCATTGCCTGTGCTTATAAGTATGGAAAGAGCTTCACGCGTCCCAATAAGGGTGACCCGGATTCACGCTACGTCAACCTCTGTGTGGCCATTTATGAGTGTGAGAGCTCGGGCGGAAGTGAATGGGTTCTGGAGGACACCATACACCTTAAGAATGTCCATTTGCCCCGTATTAATATCGGTCATGGCATCGATCTCAGCTATCTGCACGACAGTCGACTGCTGGCTAAAAAGCAGCGCGTTAATCAGGTGCTGCACACTTTTGCCCACGACGATAGCCGTTCGCCCCGCAGCGGAGAGACTACACCGGAGCTGGCTGTCAAGCAGGCAGCTGCCTCCGGCTTGCTGACAGTGCCCAGCTTCAGTACTTTGCAGTCCTTGCGCAAGAGCATTGCCGAGAATGGCAACACCTGTCCGTTGACTCAAAAACATTTGGTGCAACTGGATTGGGTGTCCAAGGAAGATGGTTCTCATATATTGACGGTGGCCGTCGGCAGCAAGATCCTGCTCTACACACCCGTAAGCTCGGATGTTGCACAGGCAAACATAAAGGCCATGAAGGAGTCGCGTTCGGTCAATCGTCCGATCCTACGCAAAGCTAGCTCCTTGGCCCAGCCCAATTTTGTGGATGAAATTCGTTGGATGAAGCTGCGACAGATCGATTTACAAACCGCAGATGGATTGCCGCCCTTGCCCATGCAAATATCCTGGGTACGCGATGGCATACTGGTGGTTGCCATGGACTCCGAAATGCATGTCTACTCGCAATGGAAGCCACATTATAATCAGCATTTCTTGGGCAGTGCCGAAGATGTGCCCGACACGCGTAATCTCAGAGATGAGGACTTGCGCTCACTGGCCAATGAGTCGACACAATTGCGTCTGAAAACGGTTGCCTCTATGCCATTGATCAGCAAGGTGAGCACAGCTAATCTTCAGCTGTTGTCTCATGACAAGAAGCGACGTCTTGGAAATAGCAGCATGGGCGCCATGCCAGCCTCCAGTGCCGGAGATGCCGGCAATGATGATTACATGACGGACTTTGGCCTGTTTCAGGCCTCACGCATTGCCTGTCCCGTCCTACCTCAATACCATCCCAAACAACTGATGGAGTTGCTTAATTGTGGAAAGATTCGTTGGGTAAAGGCCATTCTGGCGCATCTGGTGCGTTGTATGAGCGGTCCAAGCACTGTGGGAGGCAGCGGTTCTGGACAGGATGAGGATGGCTCTGCCCGTCAACGCAGCTGGTCACGTTCACGCACGCTAAGCATTAGCTATACTGCAGATACGAATATCCAGGCTGAGCATCGGGGCTCCACAACCCAAATACCCGAGGAACTCATGCTAGACTATGCTGAGATTAATTCCATACCGCCATTGCCGCTGTGGGTGCTGCTCAATGCAGATCGCGAGACGCCTGGACAATGCGGTTCCATGCCCGAAGATGGCAAGGATTATGAGGAGCTCTTCGATTTGCACAACTCGGAGGATAATCTGGATGAGCTGTTGGGCGATGGGGATCAGAAGCGTCAGGATCGTCGGCTATCTTTGCCAGAGAAGCAGAGCATTTCTCATTTTGGAATACGTCAGGGTCAGCTATTGTCACGACTTTTAACGCATACTCATCTACCCGGACTTTCCTCTCTGGATCAGATGCATTTGCTCGCTCTGGCGGACACTGTAGCCACATGCAACACCGATTTCTCGGATAAATTTGCCGCAGACATTGGCAAAAATGCTGGAGGGGTACCTAAAGATCAGGGTGCGAACAACGCTCTAACCGATTCACTCGATGACTGTGGTCTGCGCTTCCTGTTGGCCATGAAACACTTCACCTATTTGTTGCGCTGCTTGCCCCTGCAGCAGCGAGCGCAATTCCAACGTCAGGGTGTTGGGACGGCCAACATTGTGTGGGCCTATCACTCGGAAAGCGAGGAGGAGCTGCTTAACTTGATACCCAGCTATACCAAAGGTGATCTCAAGTGGGGCACACTGCGCGATCTGGGCGTGGGATATTGGCTGAAGAACATCAATACGTTGCGCAAGTGCGTCGAGAAATTGGCCAAATGTGCGTATCAACTGAAGCAGGATCCACTTGATGCAGCCATCTATTATTTGGCCATGAAGAAGAAATCACTAGTCTGGGGTCTGTTCCGTTCCAAGCGCGATGAAAAGATGACCACATTCTTTGGAAATAATTTCGGAGAGGATCGATGGCGCAAGGCGGCTCTGAAGAACGCATTCGTGCTCCTTGGAAAACAGCGATTCGAGCATGCTGTGGCATTCTTCTTGCTGGCCAACTCTCTCAATGATGCTATTGAGGTGTGCATGAATAAGCTCGAGGATTTCCAGCTAGCGCTGATTATAGCGCGGCTCTATGAGGGCGATGCGGAAGGCAGCTATTATCATAGACTATTGCATGAACATATTCTGGGCACAGATGTGGAGACTGGACGCTGTGACATTACACGAGCGCATCCTGATCCCTTCCTCCGCTCCATGACCTACTGGACCATCAAGAAGTATCAGGAGAGTTTGAATACCTTGCTGTTGAATGGTGTGGGCAGTTTACATAGCAGCTACCGTGAGGAGGATCTGCTGCGTCCAGAGACTCATGCCACTAATCCGAATGTCTTTAATTTCTACATTTATCTACGCACCCATCCGTTGCTCATTCGGCAGAACATTGCGCTCTCGGCACAGGAGAAGCGAATGGCGCACGTTGTGCTCTCCGGATTCAGCTATGCTGGCGATGCACGCGGCGGGGCTACTGGAGGCTCTGGGCAGAACAATGATAAGCAGCTGCAGCTGGAGGATTCGATAACGCCCATTGAGCGGCAATTGTACTTCACGACGGCGCATGGACACTTTAAGTCTGGGTGCCCGGCGCTGGCGCTGGAGGTGCTCAACAAGTTGCCCATGAAAATAACCGATGATGCGGGTAGTAGTGCAGCTAGTCAGACAGCTGGCAATGATAAGGAAGAGCTCATTGTTTCGGGCATTATGGATCAATGGGGCACCACCAGTAACGAGACAGCACCAGCCACTGCGGAGGCTTTCGATTGGGGTGCTCCGGTGAGCAAGTCGGATGCAAACTCTACGTTCGAAATCAAATGGGATGACGATGAAGAAGAAGAAGCGGAGGATGAAAAGGAAGACGGTCTAATAACGCCACAGCCGCAAGCAACACCAGCACCCAAATCCAACATCAAAACCAGCGGTGGGGAAATCAAAATGGACATTATGGCGCAACAGCTGAAGTTTGTCGCCTGCCTAAAGATCCTCATGGAAGAGCTGTCGACACTGGCAACCGGTTTCGAAGTAGATGGCGGCCAGCTCCGCTATCAGCTCTACATGTGGCTCGAGCGTGAAGTGGAGGCACTTAAGCAGTTGTGCAATTACTGCAGCTCGGAGCAGACTGGCGACGGCAGCGATGAGCAATCGGGCGATGCTAAAGACAAGGATATGAATGCCAGCATCTGCCCCGCTACAGAGCGACCGACACTGCACGAGATACTCATGCAGGACAAGCAGGACTTTGAAGCGAAGGTGATGCGCGCTGCTAAGCGCAAGCGCTGGCTAAAAGGTGAGTGCGAGCTGAACTAATCTGAGCCGAGCCGAACCTTACACTAAATTTTAACTTAAAACGTGGTACCTTTCATATAAGATTTTCAAAATATTTTATTTGTTTTTGGGCTTTCGAGTAAAGGGGATTCAAAGAAGTCGTTAACGAATGACCCATTCATTGTGCTTTGAGTGTTCGAACACTGGGATGATCCCTATATGGCAATTGTTACAATTCGATTCTCCGAAAACTCTGACCGCCCCATGTTCATTAGTAGATACAAACGCAATATGAATAGTTTTTCCGGAAAAACGGGCAATCATTTGCTTGAAATTTAGGAGCACCCATCGACAAAAGCCCTTTGGCTCTGATGAACTTTTCAAGATACTGTAAGCAAAGATGAGGAGGAGGAAGAAAGCGTAGTGCAGCTTCTCTGCTACTGCCCAGCACTGAGCAGGCGTAGACTACTTATCCTAGGGAATCCCTATCTAAACGATCTCTCTGAAGCAACCAACATAGAGTTCGTGAGCCTAATTAGATTTTTTAATACCACCGAGTGGCTAAGGATAGACTAACTTCAAGACTATATGGCATCACAATGGGCATTAGGTCTACTAAGTGGGAGGGTGAGCGCAATCACCCCAGCCTAACCTAACCTAAGCAGAGAAAAACGAGTAATATGTTAGAAGCGTGTCACTCCACCAATCCTTGCATGCGCCTTCTTTTAACCACAGTCCTTCAGTCCTTCAACTCTAATAAATATTGTTGTACCGAACACACCAATGGCATCTTATCATGCACCGATTTCTATAAATTATCAGATTCAATGAGACAGTTTACAAAGTTTGGCGTTCCTAGCTGGTATAGTTTAGCATGTGCCTTCTGTGGCGTTTAGATTTTCTATTATACTCTTTATACCCATCAGGATATAAAAATGTCTCATATATAAAAATACGTTCCTTGTACGCTAATCGTAAAGAATATCAAACTTTCCAATGGAGTAGACAAATCGACCTAACAATAGAGCTGGAAATTGATTAGACACCTTCTTTATTAATACTTGTATATATACTTCGCAATATTTCAGCCAACGAAACACTGTTGCGCACACTGCTCAGCTACTGTTCGCTGCATGGGGCGAGTGGTGGCGGACTGGCTTCGGTGCGTATGGAATTAGTATTATTGCTGCAGGAGCTGCAGCAGGAGAAGACGCAGCAGCAGCTGCTCAGCCCTCTACCATTCCCCACCACACTGCCGCTGTTGAGCGCGTGTGTGGCCGGCAACAAGACGGTGATTGCCGATCCCATCAAGTATTTGCAATCACAAACAGTGGACATGCTACAAAGTATTATAAAGGTATTGCCCTTCCCGGGCATCGAGACGAGTGCGTTGAACGAAATATTCGTGTTGCGCGATCTTGCAGTGGCTCTCTCATCGTGCATCTACCAATCGTTGTGCGATTCTGAGAGTTTTGTCGTAAATAATGCCTCATTTAATGGATATCAAAGTCCTGGAATTGAGAATATTGCGAAGATAAACTCGTCCTTTGAGTGCTCCTATCTGGTAGGCAGTCGAAATGCATTTAATCGACGTCGCAAGTACTCTACTGATGAGCCGGCGGAGATCTGCACCACCCCATCAAAATGGCCGGGTGTGACAAATTTGCGCGCGCTGCTCGCTCGTGAAAAGGATGAGGATGTGCCTAAGCTAAATGTCCTGCTACTCGAGTCATTTGTGTCCACCTACATGGCGCTGTTCATTTACTCGCTCTCGACCTGCGACAGTCGACTGCTCTATCGTTTGAGTGGTCAGAACTTTTCAAATGAGACCTGGTCCACGCTTTTTGGCGGCGGTATGAAGAAGCTGCTAATCAAGCCAGCGGCCCCGCCCCAATTCCAAACCAATCACAACCAAAGTCAGATGCAGTCGAACTCCATGGCAGCTGCATCGAATACTGATGAAAATACGGATGAGAGTGGCGTTTGGAGTACCGTCACCTCCATTACAAAGCAACGTATGCGTCTGAATATGAAAATTCTAGGCAGCTTTAACAACAGCACCACCTCGGCCAATATGAAGGAAGACAAACCTACGTATCGTGAGCAATTTATGCCGCCAGGAACATCTATGTTGTCATATTTTCTGACCAAGCCGATCAGCTCCGGTAACTTCCATTTAGACAAATGTTGATGCCCATACTTAGACCCTATTTCGTTATAGATTACGATGACTACGATACGGACGATTCACATAAGTCGGACAACGAAGACGAAGAGGAGGATGATGATGACGTCAATTTGAGTCGCACTCAACTCAAATCCAAAGACAATACAGAGCACACAAATCCCACATCCTATAGCTGGAGCATACTACGTCTGGCGCTAATCAAGATCAGCACCCACAAAATCCAGGAGTTTGTGAAAGTGGCCGGAATCGAGCTGCAGGGTAGCTGTACTTTTACTTCTTCCCCATGAATTTCCCCAATTAATTGCCGAATTTATTACTCTTCAGATTTGCCTGTGATCAGTCCGCTGTCGCACGAAGTGTTGCGCACATTAAATCGCTGGCAAGAATATGCACTCAACGATTTGATAGCACGTGGTCCGCCTTCGCGGAATTATATACCCGGCTGTTATGCGGAGAGCGGTATCAATGGACTGGCCATACACAAGTATCGTTCGCTACTGAACAAGGAAAATACGCCATTTATATCCAGCTCCTCAGCCGGACCCATACGTCGGCTGTGGAACTATTTGGTGCGTCAGGAGCCAGCGCAGGATGTATTCATTAAGAGCATATTCGGCAAGAATCCGGAGCCAAGTACACGCAGCTCCCATCACCATCAACACGACAATGAAACCGATGAGGGTGGGTCCACAGAAATGCGTCCTGGAGAGGACACTAACTAATTATTATATTAACCAATAACTCACTTTTCGGTTTTAGGTCATTCGCACTCAACGAACGAAAACTGCGACCAAATACGCATCATCCACAAGGATCACGAATCCATATTGTCCTTCTGCCTAAAGAGTAATACCTCTTCCATGATTGCCTTTGCCAATCCGCGCGAGATACAGGAGTTCGATATATCGCTGCTGTTGGAATCGCCCAATTGGTATGAGGACGAATGCGATTACAATATGCTGAATCTGTCCAAAGAAGAGGATACAAACAGTTCCACATTCCTCATCATCCAAACGCAAGAGCAGTAAGCTGAAATGTTATATTGCGCAGTGCTTCAATTTATTTAATTCTGCCCATATTTTTTGTAGAAATCAGTTCGGTACCGGCAACACCTCGACTGATCCCAGCTCCAGCACACAGAGCGCTTCACAATCTGGACGCGGCACATCCATGGCAAGTTTTAGAGCAGCCACTTTAATGCTGACCGCTCTCATTGCCTTCCACCCTTTGTTCGCTTCTCTCTTCTAAGCAGGTGCTACGTCACAAGGTGGATAATGTGAAGCGCATGAGCGCACACCCTCTAATGCCACTCTATTTGACTGGAGGGCAGGATGGTTCGGTCCAAATATGGGAATGGGGTCACCAGCAACCAGTCTGTTGTCCTCGCACCTCCGGCACCTTTGCAAAAGTCACTCGCTGTCGCTTCTCCGAGCAGGGCAACAAGTTCGGCATCGGCGATGGTGATGGCAACCTAAGCTTGTGGCAGGCGGGCATCGCATCTCAAAACAATCGCTCCTTTATTGTAAATGCCATTTTATTTATCAGTTTATTTCAAGTTAACGATTTGCCTCTTTTCAGACCTATCAGTGCCACAATAAAACGTTGTCTGATTTCGTATTTTTGGGCGCCTGCAGTTTGCTGGCCAGCGGTAAGTGTGCACCAACAATTCCTCTATTCAGGCATATTCTAGACCCTTTATACTCGGATAGGTGGTCAAAGTTCCGAAAACAAGAACATTAACATTTGGGATACCTTGATGCCGCACAAGAAAGCCTGTGTGTCGGGTAAGACTCTATCATTTCTCAAATGTATTGATTGATTGAAATTAATGATTGATAATGATATTGCAGCCTTTACCTGTCATGATCAGGGATCGTCCTGCTTGGTGTTTGCACCTCAGCATCAGGTGTTGATATCGTGCGGCAAGCGTGGCGATGTTTGCGTCTTCGATGTCAGGCAGCGTACGTTGCGACATCGCTATCAAGTGCGTATAATGCAGTATATGATGTAGTATGATTGATATAATGTTCGCTTACTCTTCTGTTCCTCTTGCAGGCACACGATAGCACCATCAAATGCATTGCTTTGGACCCGCATGAGGAGTTCTTTGTCACAGGTTCCATTGAGGGTGACATTAAGGTGCGTCCTTTTGTTTGGTCCTTCAAGTTACAGTGTGTCTTTAAAAAATCCTTTGTGGTTCTTCTTGCAGATCTGGGACATGAATCAGTTCATGCTCATCAACACTTTCCCGCACGAGCATGCAAAGAATGGCTTCTTCAAGCACACCGGCCAGGGTGTCAGCCAGGTGACCGTGGATCCCTTTGGGCGTCTGTTCTCCTGTGGCTCCGATGGCTGCATGAAAGTTCGTCTACTTGTTGAGAAGGATAATATTGTGCACTCCCTGTATTAAAAATAATAATAACAACAACAGCAACAACAACTACTATTCTTACAAAGAAAACGAAATTAAATATGTATTGTATATTCGATGCAGGCAGCTTTCACTTGTTGTGTCTGTGTGCGTGTGTTGTGTGTAATTATTTTGTTAAAGGTTCATTAATTATTATATAAATCTTTGTTTGTGTTTTTTCCACCCGAACTAAAAGTTAACGAATAAACAATTCGTTTATGTTCTACGAGTATTTCCTAAACAGACTATATATATTTATATATATACATACATATACAAACTATTAAACATACTGCATATATATGTTTATATACATATATATGCACGCTTTATATCAATTATTAATTATTATGCAAGAGACATTCTTCAGTATGCTAAATGATATACTTACTTATGAATATTATTGTATTATTATATGTCTTTGTGTTAAACTCTGTGCAAAAAAAAGAAGAAAAATACAAAAAACAATATGTCTGTTAAATAAATAAAATATATATATATATATACATACATATGTATACATACGAGTACATAAAAAATAAACTAAAGTTCAAAAATATAAACCTCAACAATTTGCTGTGAACGTTGAATTAAATTGGTCTCGATCGATCGACGAGATAGTTGGAGATCCTGGATTCTGTTCTCATATTCTTAACAAATGTCAGGAGTATGTTGGACCGCTTCTTCGAGGGATGCAAGCCGTTGCAGGACAAATTCCAAAGTCTACAAGTAGCCAGTTGCGGCGTGTTGGAAACAGTGCTTTCTAGTTGTACAAGATTTTGTCTATTTAGAAGCTAGCATCAGCAACAACAATGACGCCAGCTTGGAGATGTGGGGATTTCGGATATTATGCGTTTAGTGAGCAGTTTAGGAGTAGACCCCTCTCTCGACGGGCACTAAACTAACCTAATTCTGTTTTTACACGGTAGATTGGTTCTAGAAACAACCGTGTAAAAAATACATTGATCATATGCAGATATAGGTGATTGGTTCCTTATCTCTAAAGAAATATATATGCAATTTCTAATTTTCAAGCCGTGTTATATCAAAATCGTGTAAAAGCAGAATTAGGTGTACAGCTGTAAAGTACTTTATTTCGGACTTGACTGGTGGACAATTCAGAAAAAGGCGACCACGTCAGCGCTGGAAAGACCAAGCTATGCACTACCCTACTATCTTTGGTGTTACCAATTGACGTCAGCAGGCACCAGACAGACACCGCTGGCAGGGACAGACAACCGCTTGTAATGGCCACAAAACGTAAACAGCTGCCCATCTTGCCCCTTTGCTACTCCCATATATTAGATAGCCTTGAGAAATAACAATTTTCAACTCAATCTTTCGCACATAAAAATTCATTCCAGTTTTCTTTCGGCCTTTGCTCCATTGATGGCCATTCCCACGCCCCATTGTGTCCAGAACAAAAATGTGTGGTAAATTGTTTTACGCATTTGATGCGACATTTTTATTTATGCTATATTAATAAATATACTCGTATGCAGGCATGTTGTTACAAGTTATGATAAATTGAATTGTAAAAGTAACCATATACAGAGATATATCATTGAATTAGTTGATTTCCGTTTGCCATTGAAAGTGTGTTTGTTCGTTTTTTTTCTTTCTTCATTTTATCATTAATTTTTTTACGTTGTTAGACAATCAAACAAATTAGACGCTATGCCATATATGGGCCTTTAATAATAAAACTAAAACAAAAACAAAAAAAAAGTCGCCAGAGAAAAAAAATGGTAGCCAAAAAGGGAATTGCCAAACGGAAACGTTCACAAGTCGCGCTGCGTAGCATCCGTTGAATTGAATGTATGTATACACGTATATGTATGTATGTATGTATGTATGGGAGTGTTTTTGTGTGTGTGTGTGAGTGTGTGTCGTCCATAGTTTAGGTCAGCTAGCCATTATACCGACCCGTGCTGTTTATCTATGTATTCGGAACAGGTCATTGTGTTTATCTTCGTTTCTGCCACCAGCAACATCATCATCATCATCATCTACGTCGTCATAATCTTAGTCGTCATCATCATCATCATCATCATCATTATTATTGTTGTCGTCATCATCATCATCATCATTAACGGTGTCGTTGGCTATAGCTTTAGCTTCAGCTTGATCGGCGGATCGCACTCATGACCTCGGCGGTTTAATTAGCTTGCTAGTGGGTGGAGGCAATTTGCAGAAGCCAGCTGCATCGAATACGGGAAGTAGTTCTCGAACACGCCCCGGTATCGAGCCATCGAGCATTCTAACAACCACACATGTCAGAATGGAATGGTGAATAATGGGTGGTGAGAAGGGGGGGAAGAAAGGCACATTAGAACACACACATATTGGGAAAATAAAAAATAAAAAATACACTTTTGCGGGCAATTTAGAAGCATAGTTATATTGTCGTATACTCGTACCTACGCTTGTAGTCGATTTTAGCGCCTTTTAGGGAAATATTCGCCTCGGTTGGAAAGAATGTGGCATCGTAAAAGTTCAAACCGTTCTGGAGCAATATATTGTATTCGTCCATGGAGGCCAATGTGATGCGTATAACAGCCGGCGGTAGTTCGCGTTTCTCCAAGCGATCTGGCTTATCCAGAACATCGCCACCGACGCCACCCACGTTCCCAACTCCAATGTTGCCGCTGCCGCCGCCGCCGCCCACACTCTTTGTGCTCGCGCCTGCAAGGGAAAGGGGGGGCATAGAAGAAGAAAGGGAAGGTAGAGAGTCTCAAATGTCCAATGGGTTGGAATTGCAGATATCGATTGGATTGTACATTACTTCTTATGGCCGATCTGCGCACTGTCTGCTCACCTTCAACGCTCTTCTCGCCGCCGCTCGACGTTATGCTCGAATAGATATGAAGACGCACAACTTCGACAACCGAATCGAATTTGTACATGGCGTGTCGTATATCTTCGACGGGCAGATCTTCGGGCACGTCCAGCACATAAAGCGTGAAAGTTTTGCGCGGCCGACACGGTATGGCGATCTATTTTTTGGGTTATAGATCAAGGAGGAGGCGTTCGATTGATTTTGTTGAGAGATATACGTGTACATATGCATAGATATAGTAGGCATGCAGAGAAATGATATGATTATATTAGATGGTTGATTATTCATGTACGACTTGGTAGTATCCCTCAATTGCCTAACATTGCCAATAGGTAGATATGTACATAGGTATATGAGATATATGAGATATTCCAATACTCACACTTCGCGACAATGATTGCTGTAAAAATGTTAAAATAAATTTTGTCATGCAAGATATCAATTTTCTGTTTTATTCTACATATAAGTATACAAGTATGTATATAGGCAACTTCTCTTATTAATGAACTAACCCTTCGATCCCAAAATCATAAATAAATAACGATGGCAATTCTATACTTACTTTGCGATAGAAGCGGGCGCCGGTAACTTTGTGGAAACCCTTCTTGAACACCGCCTGATAGTCATCTGGATGTGAGAATTTAAATAGAATGCCTGTAGCGGTTTTCGTCAAGCTGAAACATCCTTTGAAACTCATTTTTTCGCATATTAGAGCAGCGCGTTCCATGGATAGTTCATAGGAGGGTGTCAGTAGAAATGCGCCTGTAAGTCCATTAAATTTCTTTCGTCTTTATAATGCACATAGTTAGTTGGTTTATAGTGTTAACGATGATGCCAGCATGCCGGAATTAGCATTCTACATGATCCTGGTTATGATTAGTAAAGTTATCTTGCCATATTTCTTATGATCAATCACAAATAGTTATAAATCAAAGCATAAAGGATTTAGATCATTACACTAGTCTGAAGATCAACTGAATGCTCGATATTCCGTACTGGATTTCGTAATACATACTACATATAATTGCTATTTTTCAGCTTTAAACAACTAAGACTTTCTCAGACTATTTTAATTATGTTAGCTTTCTAAAGCTTACATTATTTTTCAAACTAATCAATAGAAACAAGAAAACAACTAAGACTTTCTCAGACTATTTTAATTATGTTAGCTTTCTAAAGCTTACATTATTTTTCAAACTAATCAATAGAAACAAAAAAACAGACATTAGTAAAAAAAAGAGCATACAATTCTGGTAAAACTGATCATAAGTTGCTTTAAACGGTTCAATCTTTGTAACCGACTTCAAAAAAGCAGGAGGTTATCAATTAATCTGTATTTTTTTTTTTCATTTAGATTTTAAAAAACTGTTCAGTGAATTTATAATTTTGCAACTACTTGAAAAGCTAATACGCATGCCACAAGTTTTTAGCACCTTTGGTTAAAAAATTATCCGGCGTCGAGACTTCTGAATCCGAATCATCGTCCCGCTTATCGGCCCACTTGGGCTCCGATGATAACTTATGCGCGGCCACTTTGGTGACAATTCCCGAAGGACGAGGTCGTGGAAATTCATTTTTCTCACATTCCAGATCTGATGTGTTCCCGATATAAGACATTTTATGAGATTAGATTATTTGTATATGTGTATTTAAAAAAAAAATAAACAAAAACAACGTAATGCGATGCCCTAAAATTCGATTTCCACAAGACTATGAGACGCACGAAAATTTTTGAAGCAACTAAAGCGTAGACGCGTTTCAATCGCGCTTTTATATGCTTGACTGGCCAAGCCGTTGTCGCCGAATGCGTTCTGGTTTATATCAAGAGCTATAGCTATAGCTATAGCTATGGCGGATGATGATGTTGATGATGTTTGGCAGCCCAGTGTCACACACACCGGCAAATATTTATATACTTGTATATGTATGTATGGGCAGCCAACCCAGACAAACGTTGGTCGCTGAAATTGGAAGTTCTTACAATTAGATTGTTATTGGGATCCTCGCTAATGGCACGCAGCGAGTGGGCGGGCCCACCTAACGATGCAGGTTGACGCCATCGCCATCGCCAGTTACCATTTGACATTGTCAGGAAAGTGGAAAATGCTGCGTTAATTCAAGATCAACCGAGCTAATCTAGTTTATAGGGAAAAATCAATTGGAGCGCCTCAAAAAGCTCAGGTACATCGCGAACAGATGATCCAAATATTTTGTTGTGCCATCGAAACTGTTTGAAGTAAATCGGATATAATTGAAAAAAACCTACCCCTGCGAGTTAAAACGCAGTTTTCAAGCATCATTGCTTTAAATTTTAAATCATGTTTAATATAAGAAGCAATTAAAATTAGAATAGGATTTACGATGAGAAAATTGAACAGGGTTCAAATAGAAATGAGAGAAAGATATGAGAAAGAGATGAAATACACATTAGTTAGTAGGGGATATAGAAATAAAATCGAGATGATATAAATGACAAAATAAATTAAGATAGAGGAAACCCAGAGATACTGAAATACAACGGCAATATAAAGTTCATTATTATGACGCACTATTTCGCCTTAAAATGGAACTGAGTTGGATTTGTTGAAGTTTTTTCATTGATCATATGCATAAGTTATTTTTTAAATGCATCGTGCATTATTTAATCAAAATTTTAATTTTTTGGCCCCCCCCCTTTGGTAAAAGCTGCCTACGCCCTTGCTGAGATATATTATAAACGGAATGCACTTAAGATAAAATAAGCCTTTTAGTTCACACACTACATTGTGGGCAAGGCTTTTTTGTATGCTCTGCAAAAGGAAATAATCCAAATGGGGCTAAATCTGGCGAATAGGGTGCGTGAGGAAGCAATTCGAGCATTAACTCATTGATTGATTTCTTCTTCAAGATTTCATCATTCAAGCATTGCATTGATTGGTTATTGTTAAAAAAAAAAAAAACAACGTGCATTTCAAAAAACTGACGTCATAGCCTTGTCTACAAATGGAACTGTCTTCGCGTTTTTTGAAGTCGATTCTTCCCCTTTCAGTTCATTGTTTGGAGCGGTTTTTATTTTGTGAAACATCCTTACGACGTTTGTTTCAGTGTTGGGAAACGCATCTCTAAAATGACGGTCGATATTTGAAATGCCTACCAATTCTGCAACGGGATTCTCTCTTGACCACTGCCTCTTAATTTGTTACTGTTTTAAGCGAAGGAGCAAACACAACCAGAGCAGAATCAAGTCCGGCTTTAATATTGTTTGGACTGAGGCCTCTTAAATGACAGTATTGCATTACAGATTCACTGCAAGAATTCAGCAACAGCTGTAAAAAAAAAAGAGCGCTGCAGTCCAGCGAGCCCGACAGTGTAATTCCCTGTACCCAGACAAATTTCCGGCACTGAGTTATATGCGCCCATAACAGAAGCAAAAAGAAGAAGAAAAGCGCACTTGATGCTGCAGTTTGTGGGCGTAGTACTGGGGTGAAATTGTTTCGCTAATAACTTTTCTTAGTATTGACCGAATCGGATGAAATTTAAAACAAAACTATAGAATTGTATATAGTTTGGTCAATGTAGCTTTCGAAATGGACAGTATTGAAAAAATTCTGTAGTGGGAGAAGGGAGGAAAAATTCCAAAAAATAAAAAAAAACTCGTCCTTTCTCGGTTATTCCAGCTTTTATAGTTTCTGACATTCTTGCGTTCATTCAGACAGACGGACGGACGGACGGACATGTCTAGATTAATTCGTCTCGTCATGCTGTTTAAGAATATAAATACTTTATGGGGTCGCAGATGCTTCCTTCTGCCTGTTACATACTTTGGGCATAAAAATATTAAATAACCTCGAGTCTCCAATCGGCACACTTACGTTTTATAAGGTGTGTGCTCTATATTAAGTATAACTGATTTATTTAAGCATTCGCGATACTTCTAGAGCTACATCTGAATTGTTTCCCGATCTGTTGAAGTATTTCATTAACGATAAGCGTTCAGTTCCATGCGTCAACTCGTCGAACAAAAATAAAAGACCTTTTGGAGTTTTATGTCATTTCATATATGTGGTTTATTAATAAATTATTTGTATTTAAATTAATGTTTCAGTTTTGAATATTTATAATATATATATATATATATATATATTTTTTTTTTTTTAAACAAAATGTGTCGTTCACTTAAAAATATTAATAAACTACTAAAGTGTTTACATGGCAACTATAATTTCGTTTCGTCAATTTTTGTTCTTTGTTTCCATAATTGTTTTTATTTCATCTTGTTGTTGTTGTTGTATACATTACAGTTTATAAATTTACTTTTTTATGCATTTCATTTCCTTTTTTGTTCGCATTTCGAAAACAAAAAGTATTGTTTTGTATCAAAAGACAAACAGAAGGGAAAATGTACAATTCGATGCAATCAATAATAAACAATTTAACGACGGCGCGTTACTCTTATTCTGACAAAAAGTGCAGCAAGCAGAGTTCGTGGGCAAGGAGGGGACGGAGTTGAGTGGAGTGTGGGGAGGTGTGTTGCTGATACTGTTTAAAAGCATATCTATCTATATAAATATATATATATATATATATATATATAGTATATATTTCATATGGTAAGCCGGATATAAAAGCTTCTTTAGACAGACACAAGAAACACAGAGATACGAGAGATAAAGACTGAGAGATCACCTTAAAATGTGATGGATTACTTGTGTATATAAATATATATATAGGATTTATATATATATATATATATATATATGTGTGTGTGTGTATGGTTCATATGCTTAACAAACTGGAAAGACAATTTGCATTCTGTTTGGTTTCGGTTATTGCTTCTGTTTGTGCTGCTTGCAAGCGCCGTTTTTGTTTTTTTTTTTGTTTTTGGGAAACAAATCATATATCACTAGCTTAGAGAGAACTTGAACTTGGACTCCAATTTTAACAACAAGAATCGGGTTTGGAGTAAGCACACACATTTACATACTTACATACATACATACACAACAACTACGTAATAATAACTGATATATGTTAACAATTATGCAGCGTGATGGGGGCGGGGGGAGTGGCGCGTGCGCAGAGTTTGGCGATCGAAGAATATTGCTGGTGAGACGGCGCAGGATGTTGTGGGATCAGGCAGGTGGGAGATTTTCGTAGAACCTATATGGCAATTACTTTAAATATAGCTTTTCATTCTCAATTTCTTTCTTTTTCTTTTTCATTGTTTCTCAACTGTTTTCGTGTATTAGCTGTAGTCGTATCAAGCGAATTTATCGGTTTCTTTATGCTTTATTTCTATATATATATATATACGTTTTTATTTTTCGTTAGCCTTTCATTATAATTTAGTTTTGTTTTATGCATTTTGCAAAAAGCAGCAAAAACAATTTCATTTCTTGTGTTATTTATTTATTTGCCTTTCACGCTTATAAGTATATTATAAGTTTTCATTCGTAGTATATATCGTAGTATATATATATATATATATATATCTATATATATATATATATATAGGCAAACGTTGCATTACACTTAGCCGGGAGGCGGATGAGGGGAGGGGTATGGGGCATATTTCTATTAAACATGACTTATGCTTTCGAATTTAGATATAAATCATAAAATTGAATTTGGAAAATGAGTGGAAAATGATTCATTGATGAGTCAAAATGTTGTTCATAAAGCTATACAAACTATATATGTTAATACTACTATGTATAAAGAGATATATATGTGAGTGTGTGTTGTGTGTGTGTGTGTGTGTGTGTGTGTGTGTGTATAACAAAATGACATGCACGCTTCAAACTGACTAGAACGGCTGTATGTCTTAGAAACAAATGAGCTAATTATAATTATAATATAATAATGATAATAATGTGTAAACATAATAATATTAAGGTATTCTTCGCTTTAAACAATTAAAAGTCTTTGCATTGGAATCGATATATATATCTATATATATGTACATTAATATGTATGTATACATTTCTTGTATAGACTAAATAAAACCCAAATGGTTGTTGCGGTTTTTTGAATCTTAAAAATCATTTGTCTATATATGTAGTTTTAGTTGGTTTCAGTATTCATTTCCTAATTTTGTGACCTCAAACTATTATTACATTTCGTTGCTCAATCAACATAATACATATTGCTCTTAATAATTGAACTTTGCACTCAATATTATTAGAATAAAGTAAACATTTGCTAAATAAGCATTTGATATCTGAAGGCCGCCTAGCATTCAAAAGAAAAGCCCCACAGAAAAGAGAACACTCAATACGAGTATTTTCCAAGCAATACTCTAGTTTTTCTTTTGAACACTGAACACGGGGCCTATGTACTTCATTGTGGGTGTATAAATAATTGTAAAACTATATTTGGTGGCATTGGGCATGTTATGTGTTTGTTATATAAGGTAAAGCACTTGGATATATACCTATGTATGTATATCTATGGATTAGACGTTCTCATGCTTGTTGCGATGGCACTGTAAATGCTTCGATCTCTTATGCTTAAAGTTCATTTCTCTATTTCATGCTCTTGGCAGTGCAAAGATATAGATAGATATAGATATTGCTATATTATCAAACGATTTGGCCAGCACACAGTTGTGTTCCTGGCTATGGGTTAACCAATTATCATTTCAATGCAAACAAAAGAGAGACAGATAGGGAGATTGGGAGAGAGATAGCGTGAGAGCGAGCACACATAGTACGATGATTGCAATTTTTCTATAATCTACGAATCATAATCATAAATCATGTGTCTCTGTGTGTGTGTGTGTGTGTTTGCGTGTAAGTTTTTGTAGCCTTTACATTAATTATTATTTACAATACGACACTATTCGATTGACATTGACATTTAAAAAATAGCTGAGATAGCCCAAATGTTCATTAATGCAGAGACTACAATAATTATTCGAAGTTGTGTTGAAAATATTTTTTGAAATTGTAAATGAGAATTATGCGTGACTTGCTGCTGAGACTTGTATTTAGATTTTAGTTTCGTATTCTTGCACTTTCTGCTTTGTTTGCTTGTTTGTTTATTAGTTTGTTGCTTTAAGGAAATGTACAAAACGTGTAGTAATTGCTTAAATTTTGTTTCTTCTGCTGCTTTCGTGCTTCCTCGTTTCTTCAGCGTATTTTGTTTTTACGTTTTTTTCGTTTACGTTTCTTCTACGTTTCTCTTTTTTTTTTTTTTTTTTTTTTTTGGACGGAACAATTTACAACATATGATTATGAAACAATGAATATGTAACAGAAAGGAGAAACAATAATACTCGTACAAACAATTTTCAAAAGTGAGGCGTCAATAAGAAAATGTTAGAAGCAAGGTAAACAAAATGTACAATCAATTGTATAATTATGCTATGCGTTATTATGTTTTATAAATACAGAAAAAAAATATGTATAGTATGTTTATATATATATATATATATATGTAGTGAACAAAACTTGGACTAATGGAATGAAGTAGCGGGGGTATATATATATATATATATATGAAACGATACAGCTTCGTTAGCTTGTTATATGCACATGTATGGTAGTTGGTTAGAAAGAGAGCGCGTGAGTTATACATAAGTTACTTATTCCCATATACATATATATGCACGATTAACACACATACATATATATACAATATATAGGTAATCGTCTAAAGCGAAATCGTGGCATATTTTGCTTCAGCATTTCCATAATTTTCTCGGGTTTTTCTTTTATATCGAAACTTTAATTTGCACTGTTTGCTTTGCTTTTCTTTACTTATATTCCACTTTCTTTTAGGTTTTGTTTTTTAATTATTTTTTATAGCGATTTTTGTCCTTTTCTTGTTAATTGATTTGTGGTTTTTGTTTTGTTAAAATTTTGTCGTAATAAATATAATAATGATAATCATAATACAATAATAATAATAAATACGCATGTTTATCTATAAATATGTATTCTTTCATACACATATATAAGTATATATATATATATATATATACATATATGTATATATATAAAGCTTAATCGCTTAGTAATATCATATAATATTTGGTTATACATTTTCTCATACTTTATTTGTTGCCTGTGTTTTTCATGCAATCGACCAAATAAAGCTCATAAGCGTCTATATATTTTCATGGGGCTGGTTGGCTCCCTTCTGCTTGGCTCGTGTAGATTGATTGGAATATAATTATAGGCTTGTCGTTTTTTGTATATCGTGTCAAGATCAACTTATACAGTTATAAAGCGATGTTCTTTCATTATCATGTTAAGAGGCATATACATATTTAGCTTTAAGGTTTAGAGCGCTGCCTTTTATGCAGTTAGGTATATATATCTTTTATTTATTTATTATATTAGATTCAGTTTTAAATTCTAGCGACTTTTGTGGGTACGGTGCACAGCACATAGCACAAGTGTGCATTATCATGTGATCTATATGTTTCCATCTGCATATATAATTGAATGTAACTGATCGATAAGCGATAAACAGAAGCAATGTGCTAGGGTAGTGTTTGACACAAACTCGAGGGGGGGTGGGGGAAACAACATAAACGTGCGCTATTAAATCAAACAACGTGTCTAATAACATTCAAAACAAAGCTTGATTATTGAAATTGTAGTAAGTAGGTAGGTAGGTAGGTAGGTAGATAGGTAGATATGCATATGAGGGCGAGATCGTAAGAAAAATGTATCAAATGTATTGCATGTGAGTGAACTTTTGATAGGCAAGACCCAAGCTGGACAGTCTCTTGTGACTGCCGCAGACTCGAGCGTTAAACGCAAGCATCGTATTCAATTAATTTTTAAGCGCATAAGCGAATTCCATCGAAAAAAATTGGGCTTCTCTAATTTAGGTAAATGTAACAAGCTATGCTTCATAAGTGGGTTATAGTTAGGTATATGTATCTATGTACTTTGATTGTTCAAACATTGTTTGCATTTGCATAAAACTTGCGACGACTTGTACTAGGTGCCGCCTGTTACGCCCCTCATTAAATGCATATACAATACATATATCGAACAAATATTATAGATATATATATATATATAGATCTATATATATATATGCTCCTTTTTCTTTATATGAGAACTTAAGCTAGTAATAAATATGTTTTTCATTTATTTCTTATGTTTTCTTGACTTGATTTCAGCGGCGATTACCTGTTCGCACTTCATTGTTATAAATTGCCATTAGCCGTTTAAAGTTGTATTGCTAGAATTGCGGTTATATGTGGCTGTTTGTGTGTGTGTGTGTGGTTGTGTAGTGTTTCCCTACTCTATATAGACAAGACAGACAGGCAGAGAGAGAGGCGGACCGAGGCAGATCGCTCCTTTTAGAACTGTCTGCTTTCTATATTATACGCACCATCGTACACATCGAATCGCGTTTGCTTAGCCGTGGCGGCCACAACCAACTCATCGAGCATTTGAATCTGCTTGTGTGTGGGCGTGTTTAGGGGCGTGACGACATTCTGGTATCGTTGGTGAAATGTGGACAATATCTCGCGAATTTTAGCAATGATCTCTTGTACTCAGGCATTTGACTCCTTAAATATTTTCAAATTGGAAACAAATAATTAGTTTTTGTCATTAAATTGTTTAAACAACTTTCTATTACCTTAAGGTTATCAAAATAGTGCATGATCTGTTCGTAGTCCATGTCGAGATCGTCAAGACCCAGACGCTCGCCCGGGGGCAGTGTGTCATCAACGGTGGCCGAGAACATTGGATTTCCAACGACTGTGGCGCGTTTGACACGCGATGATTTTGTTGTCGGCTCACTGATCGGTACAGTTGGTAGCCGCATTATCTCATCTGTGCCATTCGAATTGGCCGCATCGACAGTGCTGCTCAGCATGCTGTGGTTTTCTGTAAAAATATCCAATTTTTAAATAAATATATTTCTTCTGAAATTTCACCAACCAATGAATCAATAAAATTTTCAATCTAGATCTTAAGTTTTATAAGACTTGCTCTAACCCAGTAACATATCAGAATTGAGAAAGAATTTTTTAACTTGGTAGAGAATTACTTCATAGTTTATCTTTTATGGAATATTTCTAAACATCGAAAAGTTATATACAAATACGTTTATCTATATGGTGAGCTTGTGGAGTTTGAAATTAACTTGAAAACTTATTAGTTTTGATGACCAGAACAATCGCCTAGTTTTATTAATATTTTTAATGCAAAATTTCCACGTTTAGCATTCAGTTTTATTCATATTTCAGCACTTTTATATGTCTTTGGAGTTGCTTTTCAATTCATTTAAGAAAAAAATGTAAAATTCGAAAAGTTAAACCTAGAAGTATACCATGATTTCTTCCTTTCTTTTTGCTCTTTCAAAACTATAATCGATTGATCCATCGAATCGGGGTAGTTGCTATCAATGCTGGATACCTAAGACTTATTTTCATTATAAAGCATAGTACCTTTTAGTTGTGGTGTAATCTTTGGAAAAGTTTCTTAAAGCTGGACATATAGTAACTGCCTTAATGTAGAACTTAAAAGTATACTAAACTCGTTCTCTCTTCTCTCTTTTTAATCGTTAACGAATCATTTCGTAGCGCGCATCATAAAACTACCTTTTAGTTGTGGTGTGGGTGCCACGGTTGCTGTTGGTGGTGTGGTTGTTGTTGTGGCTGCTGGAGCAGCTTCTGTCGGCGCCACCAACGCCGAGGTTGCGACTGCTGCTCCCGATGCTTTGGTTACTCTCTTTGGTGTGAGTGAATCGAATTGAAATGCATTCTTTTGATGTGGATTTGTGTACTCCACTAGTTTCTCAGCGTTATGCATTTCCTCGTGCTGTTCTTGCTGTTGCTTGACTTTGTTGTGTGGCTGCTGCAGTTGTTGCTGTTGTTGCAGTGCAGCTACCGCTACAGCTGCTGCCGTTAATTTCTGTTCCACTGAATGCTCGGGCGTGCTGCGATACGACGCGGCAACTGGATGACTGTTTATGAAATTGTTATGGCTATGGCTATGACTGCGCTGATGGTGATGCTGGTGGTGCGAACGTTCCGGCGGTTGTTGTGGTAATTGCGGCTGCTGCTCGGCGTTGTTGTTGTCGTTGTGCTGATGCTCACGCTTGTACTGCTGGCTGTGCCGTTTCTCAACTGCTCCACTCTTGGCGACAGTTTCCTGTAAATGGAGGATGGAGTTTTCACAAAATATTTCCTACTTACGGGTTTCAATTTATAATTTGAGGTAGCATTTAGGACCATCACACATGCCCACGAATATAAACCTTTGCGATATTGGGGTCAAACACAGCGTAGGGAGGAGAAACTCTTCCCTCGGCTCTTGACTTACCTTAAGTGGCATGACGGCAATGGCGCCAGTTTGATTGTGTGGCGGCAACATAGCGCGAGCGCCCACAGCCACACCAACATTGCGATGCGGTGGCACCGGTGGTTTATAGTCCAAAGCATTTTCCTTGCGTTCGTTCGCCAAGTAGCTGGAAGGCAGGTTTATATTAAATATCTGCGTAACATTCACAATACTTCATGGCATAGGCATTAGGAAAACTTACTGCTCTGTGTGCAACTTGTTAAGATTGGAGGGCGGCACAATGTGGGTCTGCAGCTTGGGCTGCTGATCGAAGGAACTGACACGTCTGCCATTGTCATAGCTAATGATGGGATTGTTCGTAATGCGCATGCGTGAATCTAAAATAGGGGGAACTCATAAATGAGGACACTGCATATGTTGGCGCGCGTTAGAAATGAGCACTTACCCCTGGGATTAATATGTGACGATGGATTGGAATCGGCAACCATGGAATGCCTGTCAATAGTGGAACGACCCAGCCAGACCCAATCATGGGCATTAGTGGTAGACTCCTTGACCCGTGCATCTCGAAAAGCGCCACCGTTACCGCCCTTACCCGCGTCCAGCGGATCCAGCCCCGACTCAATCATGGCCGGACGGAATTTCGATGCATAAACAACACACGAGATGACAAACACAATGATGGCAAAGCAGAAGGCAGTGAGCAGCACATACATGCCGACCTCCATGGAGGACATGTTGTTACCATTGCCCTTCTTGCCGTATGGCGACTTGTGGACGGCCTGAATGCTGCCACGGTGCTGACGTGCCTGCACCGTCGGCTCATACTGTTGACTAGAGTCGCGCAGTGGTATGCCAACTGTAAGAGGCACATAGATTAGCAAAGGAATTTTTACGCACAACTATTAGAGATTGCTTCTGGGAGGGACACAAGATGATTAAAGTTAATGCATTATTTTTAATTTATTAAGAACTTATCAGTTCAAAAGAAACTGTCTTTTTCGCTTGGGGTTTTTAGGCTTTATTCCAAAGACCTACCCGCTCTATTCATTTACAACATTTTTCCATAACTAGTTTAATAAATGTTAATCTGCAGCAGATAGGTGCAGCCTAATAAGAAGTATATATAATAAAAATAGTGGCGTAACAAGTAAGAGTCGTGGAAATAAGCAAAGATCAACTGATCGAGAATGGAAGCAAATTTCTTTTGAAAATGTTGACCATAAAATTTCCATAATATCCCCTGAGGCAAGACTCACCTATTATATCCGCCAGATCGCCATTGTTGCGGAAATTCTTACGTTCACGACCCACGGTACCATCATTCTGGATGGCCTCCTGTTTGCTGACAATATCCACATTATTGAAATCCACCTCGATAGACGCCTGTGCACTCGCCAGCGGTGCTACATTGGATTTATTTTGCTTGGATGCGGCGATGGTGCCGCGTCGCGTGCGACACTCCTCGGAGAGGAGCAGCGTGACACGCAATAGATTGCCATTGCCCTCGCCCACAGCAATCACGCGCGGATGATGGGAGGCTAGCATAGGGGCAAAGGCCACAACTTCTGTGTCCAGACTCTCGACCAAAAGGAAGTAATCGTCAACAGCAATGTCACTGTGGATGGATATAGAAATAAGTCGTCTAATCATGCGATTGGGTGCTGAAGAACACTGACCGTAGTGGCGTTTTCGAGCCATCGGAGAACTCCAAATCAATGTCCAGCAGCCCCTCCTGATATTGGGCGGTCAGCTTGTGTGTGACAGAGGTCTCTGCCAGGTAGCCGTTCTCAATGGTGTTGTCCGGTGTGATGGTTAACTGAAGACCTGAGATTACGCGCACAATCAACTTATTTAGGTTGACCTTGTCACTGCCCACGCGAATCTCCTTAGTGCCAATTACTCGTCCTGTGATGGGAGAGAGAACCTGCACATCGGTGCGGCCCATTGACTTGCCCTGTAGTATGCGGCCCTTAAGTGAAGCAATCTTGGGATCGGCAACGCGCATCAAGGGCTGCACAAGATCTGTCACACGCAAGCCAGTGCGACGTGAAATAAAGTAGCTAATGCGTCCAGAATTCTGTAAAGGGGTAGGCAGCGGAGACCAAATGGTCAAAAAAAAGTCTAGGCTTTGTGGCTTGGTCTGAGCTCACCTGATCAATGGCCAGAAATTTAGCATAAACTTCGACGGGGCTTTGTTGATAGCGAGCGCGACAAATGGTTTTGTCGGCACCCACATTATTATAGTAGTTAGTACCACCATGTTGGCCCCAGACATAGGAACGCTTCTTACGGCGGCGCGATTGCTTATTGTGTCTGAAAGAGAGACGAAGCGATTATGCAAATAAGTTTCGAGCTTCACTCGATTTCCGGTACCTAAATAATTGTATTGATATAGAGGATCGTATTTGGTGGAAACATATAAGTGCCAATATGGGCAGAACTTAGGGAATCTGTAGTTTATCGACAATTTATTGGTCGATAATATAGCCAAAAGCGGAGCAGTGCAAAGAGCTTCTAGTATAGCAAGAAATTGAAGAAACTATCACGGAAGTGATGAGGCCCAGCTTAAAGAAATATATATTAATGTGAGGAACCTATATTTCAAAATCTAGTAGAATTTGACACCTTGAATTGGACAGAAATATTTAAATCCGCTTTTTAGGTGCGAACTATACCTAGAAGTCGCATAAAATAGCGGCAGAAAAACAGTGGTATGGAACAAAACTATAATACTGACGTAACTATTTAAAGCTTAGTATGGGAGCACAATTGATTTCATTGCCTTTACGGCATAAAAGCAATAGGGGGTGGGGTTTAATTAAAATACTGGCAGGTGCGCAATAATTTCTACAACTCTCTTAGATTTAGGTGGTTTGAAATTTACTTACAGATAATGATTGTCATCGTTTACTTTCCAGCCCTTGATTTGGGACAAACGAAAATCGGATATGTAAACCTCTAGCGGGAATTCGGGCATCCAGACAATAAATTTGGCCACGCCCACATAGGTACCATATTTAACAATAACAGAGGCATTCGAGGAACCCCGCTGCTCTGAGCCATCCACATAAACGGAGCTGCACGACGACGAAACCTTAATGACACTCTCATCCTCAGCATGACACGAGCTCTGTAGCGTGACATCAGCCACTTTTCCTGCCTGCGATACGATAAACACCTTCATGGCCTGCGCCACTTGACGGCCGGTGAGAACAGCGGTGTTCATAACCTCCCAAATCTTGGCCATTGGCAGCACAGCTTGTATATCGTCTTTATTAATTTCAAGCTTGGCAATCAGGCGCTTCTTAGTGTCATCGGTGGCTATAAGTTCTGCTGAATCCTTATCTTTGGGTGCATCATAAACCTGTGTCACAGACCACACAATCTTTCCACCATCGACTATATCGTTGGTATCCTCGGCCACCTCAAGCAGCCAAGAAAAGACCTCAAACACCTCATTGCTGAAATTTCCTGCTCCTGCGGATCCCGAAGTTTCACTTTTGCTCTCCATGCTCGATTCCTGTTCCTTGCGGAAGGCTGTCACACGTGCTGTGGTATGCTTGGGATTTTCCTTCTCAATGGATATGCTCCACTGATCACTAGAGGCGGTGGCGCCCATTATTTTCAATCCCGCCTTGACGCGAGCCCGGACCGTGAAGGCAGACACACGCTGATCCGGATACTGATGCAGAAAGACGGGCACATGCAGTTTGGACATGGGATAGAGCGGATGCTGAGGCAGCAGAAATGTTACCGAATCGTCGGCCCGCAGCTCCTTAAATGGCGTCTTGGCCGGCACCAGAGGCACCTGTGCGAATGTGGTCAACGGCTGGATTTGCACCTTCGGCTCACACATTTCCGGATTGCGCAATGGAGGCTCAAATACGCTATACGAGACTTGAGCATAACGTTGCGGCACTTTTAATGGAGGAATCGGGACGCTATCCTTGGTGGGCGCTGGCAGTTGAGGCCACCAGCTCAGTGGGACGACAACCTCGGCCACGCACACTCCATCCTCGCCCTCGGGCATACAGCGACCCTTTAGGGGCAACTCTGAACCCATAGCTACATGGAGCAGGACACAGACCTTCTGACGCTGCAAATGGCCACCAGGATCGGCGCCAGCATGGAAGAGCACACGCAACACAGGCGAATCCTGCGAGACAGTGGCGCGCACCAGATGCGCCGATATATCCAGATGCATGTTCGGCTGCTGTAGTTCCAGCAGCGTTGCGGTGGAGTTCTGGAAAGGATTGTGTATGGATTAGATTGTTGCATATGTGCCGATTAGTTGCACATTGCTCACATTTATATAGTCGCCCTGATTGTCCATGGTGTCGGGCACAATGTAACGTGCCGGCACTGTCTGCTTGGTGGAGAATGGCCCATAGCTGGCACGTATCGAAACCGGCTGCGTGGTCTCTACAACGGTAAATCGATCGAGGGACAACACCGAGTCATAGGAGGTGCGCGTCTTAATGGGCGGTAGGGACGACGAGGTCTGTATGTTAGCTATTTCGGGCGTCACAGGTGGTTGGCGTGCATGCTTCAAGAAGAAGCCGCTGTCAGGGGCCTCGAAGTGCACCTCAACGCAATTGACGATATTGTGGTCTGCAAGGGGAGCGAGATAGATGGGAGGTTTGTTGGTTTGTTAAATGATGAGCGCGCCAATCAATAAATACCCATACATACATGGTAATGAACAATACATACAGATAAATATGTATATATGTATGTATGTATGCATAAGTATGCCTATATGAATGTACTTATGTGTGTATGTATGCATGTACATATATAAGTGGGCACCAAACTCATGAAACTTTCAATCTGTCATTGCCTTTCAAAAGCAATTTGTGGCTTCATTGATTTTGCTGCACACAACTGTTGCCCAGAAATATTTGCGGGGGCGATAGGGTGGTGGACAATGGCGCTGCCTACACCCTTACACACACAACTACACACACGCACACATACATAGCTATACACGACAGACACAGGCTATGAGGCAATTAACTGCGCCTCTTTTACAGCAATGTTATCTTTATGGATCGTATTTAAATAGTACGCTACAAGTACTTACGTGCAATTGGCACCAGCATCATAATTACAATGAAGTAATTCATTGTGTGTGTTGTTATTATTATTGTTGTACGCAACGATGAATCGGTTGTTGTTGTTGTTGCTGCTGCTACTGCTGCTGCTTACTGATTGTGTTAATTGATTGATTTTTTCTCGCCTTTTAATTATTATTTTATTAGATTCTCGCTGCACTCGAAATTAATTTTACTCCACACTTTCCTCGTCTCTTCGTTTAGGACCGCATACGCATTTTGGTTATTTGCAGAAGAGATTGTACCGTTATTTCAACTTCATTGATGAACCATAAATACAAAATACAATTTTTAATGTTGTACAATTGAACGTATGTATATATGTCGCTGTAGTTGTTATTATTGTTGATGCAATTTGGAACTAAATTTAATGATTTTTCACAGACATCATCCTCGTCGTTTTTCCTTTGCGCTTTTGCAAAAATCTACAGCACATCCTTTATTGATTCTTTCAGTTGTGCGACGACGACTAGCAGCGCGCACCACACACACACACCCATATACTAGCTGCACATGCCACACACATAGTTGGTTGGTCGCCTTCGCCTACATATACACACACACTTTCATTCATTTACTTGTAGTATAGAGACATCGTCGTCTATATGTGTGTACTACTCCTTTCTGTGTGCAGGCGTTTTTACAAAGTATTTAACAAACGACACACATTTAATTTGCACACGCACTGTGCGAAATGGTTTTGGCCACTCCCTTAGCACTGATTAGCGATGTTTTTAATACATGATTTTTAAAATTAATATTACAACTTTTTACGCAAACACAAGCGTTTCCAAACACCCAACAGCTTCGACCAGTTTTTCAGTGTGCCTCTACTATTGTGTGGGTGGGCAACACAAAAACGTTTTTCATGATTTTGGACAGTGTGTACACACCAGTCACTCCCAATTGGCAACACTATCCAGCTACCAGTGTCCTGTTGCGAACGTAGTGGCAGCGCTCGATTTGCAGACTTTTGGCCACAGATGGCAACCGCATCCGATAGCTCGATAACAGAGTTGACAGATTTTTTTTGCAAAATAATCCTATAATTACATACTGTGTTAAATTCAACAAACATAATAATAATAAACAAAGCAAATTTAGTGCTAAGCATTTAACCACCTGTGCCTGTGTGTGTGCCGTCTGTTTGTGCGCTAATAATATCAACGCAGCTGCAACAGCAAATACTACATTATGAAATTGCGTGCATTCTAAATGGTAAGTGGGCAAGAAATTTGCTACCACAAAACACACACGCACGCACGCACACATTCTATGCAGCAGCAGTGCACGCAGCATAGCTCATTTGAAATTTTTGTTATATTTTTAACATTACAACAACAGTAAGAACAACAACAGCAATAACAAAATGCTTCACTACTCTAGAACTGCCAGTGGCGATCGATTCCGTTAGTAAATATAATTTTATACAGTAGCATATTGCTGCTTTACCTCGAAGGTAACATTTTGAAAAGCTTTAATATCTACAACCGCAGATTTCATCGTCGATTCCTTAGTAAATAATAGCAATATACCAACTATCTGTCTCTGGCTCTATAGGGTAGCAATCACACAACCAAAATAATACGCACACACACACACACAACCAAAATAATACGCACACACACACACACAACCACAAACGTGCAGGTAAACATGTTGTGTATGTGTGTGTGTGCGTATTTTAAGTAAAATTCTTGTAATTTTGCATGCCAATGAAGGTTGACATGCAATTGCTATGCACATGTATGTAAGTGTACATGTACGTACATGCTTCGTTGTAAGTGTTTGTTGTTAATTGTTTAATAAACAACATTAAGAACGTTTTGCAAAATTCTACAATTCGCCCTGTGGGTGGGGTGTGTGTTTTTCACATGTACATATGCATATGTATGAGCACGCGTGTGTGTGTGTGCGTTGGAAAGTGTTTTTGTTGTTGTTTGCGGTGCAAAACAAAACACACCCAAATGACGATGTTGTCTTTGTTGTTGTTGTATTAAAAAACATGCGCAGAAAGGTTGATAAAAACAAAATAAAAATCAAAGAAATATAAAATGAAACTTCTGTAATACCTTCATAGACCGGTAAGAATTGGCAAATTATGCCAAAATTCTGCATTCGCAGATATTTTCTAAAATAATTTGCAACAACAATAATATCTGATGACTCACTAGCTACGATTGCAGGTGCCTTGTGTGTATTTGGCACCTTGCAGTCAAGCCGTTGCTTATCTGGCGCACATACCGGTTAGACTTGGTCAACAGCAGCAGCAGCAGCAATAACAATAATAATAACAACAACAACAACAACTAGACTTAGACATGCCCTTAAACTACTATTTTATTTCATTAAATCGTGCTCTGTCTTTTAAACATATGTATGTATATTTGTATATAGCCACAGCCACATGGGAACCATGACAAAAGACTACGACTATCTATTGAAAGTGCTACTTGTGGGGGATAGCGATGTGGGAAAACACGAAATACTCTCCAATCTGGAGGATCCATCCACAGAGAGTCCATTCTGTAGCGGCAATGGTGAGTGCTGAATAAGAATTGCTGCACTGCAAAGACTTTTCAACTAACATTTTAGAGTGCACCTTCCACATATTGCAAACGGTAGCGTATAAGACGACAACGATATTGCTTGAGGGGAAGCGCGTAAAATTACAGCTCTGGGATACATCCGGCCAAGGACGGTTTTGTACAATAATCCGATCATATTCTCGCGGTGCACAAGGTATTATATTAGTCTATGACATAACAAACAAATGGAGTTTCGATGGCATAGACCGTTGGCTAAAGGAAGTTGAGGAGGTAAGGTGGTCCCCACCAAATATATACATATAAATCGCAATTCAATTTACATTAGTTTAAATAATCATTAAATGATATTTGCAGCATGCACCTGGCATACCAAAAGTGTTAGTTGGGAATCGTTTGCATTTGGCCTTCAAGCGTCAGGTGGCCGCCAAACAGGCCGAAACATATGCCTCACGCAACAATATGTCCTGCTTCGAGATATCGCCACTTTGTGATTTCAATATACGCGAATCATTCTGCGAACTGGCCCGCATGGCGCTGCACCGCAATGGCATGGAGCACATATGGCGGAGCAATAAGGGTAAGAAGCAGCACCACTTGTATATATTTTGTACCATTTCACAATTTGTAAGGAGAGAAAATTAAAAGAATGTTATATATATACATTATTTATAATTGAAAGATTATTAAGTATTTATCAAGTTGAGTAAATTAAAGAATATCTATTTAGCTAGAGTTTCTGTTTAATGACTGTTTGTTAGTTGGATTTTAAGCCAATAACAGTTTTCAGTCTAATTGGTTTAGAAGTGTGTTTTGAGCTATTCAAATGTTGCGAATTATCTTTCTTTACCTATCTGTTCTTGGTGATTTTGTTTGAAAAGGCACTCGCTAACATGCTCTTGTATTTCTCTTCCTCGACAGTTCTCTCGCTGCAGGAGTTGTGCTGTCGCACCATTGTGCGTCGCACCAGCGTGTATGCCATTGATTCGCTGCCCCTGCCGCCATCTGTAAAGTCAACACTGAAGTCGTATGCGATGACCACCTCACAATGCTACAACTCGCTGACGCAGAACTCGAAGAGTCGGAATCGCTGCAAGACGCCCACGAGCAGCAGTCGCAACAGTTGTGTGATCGCGTGATTGCTGGATAGCTGTAGGTGGCGGTGGTGGTGCTGGTGCTGGTATTGGTGGTGCCAAGCCACCTGCGCTGCCTACATACGACCAAGTGAAGCAATCAAAGCGCTGCATCTGTATGAGGCGGTGCCATTGCTGGAGGAGGGGGCAACAACAACGTCCAAGCGCAGCAGAACTAATGCACAGTTAAATTTAAAAACTACTTTACTTACTTTAGCGTTAAGCACACACACATACACACAAACACACACACGGTCACACACGAATATGTGCGGGAATATTTTTTTATGTTTTTTTTTTTTTATAATAAATTTTTGTCATCAGCATTAATATTTATTACTGAAAGCAACTATTTTTATTTTTACACATACACATAATTTTTTTATGATTAACCTTAACTTTAAACTTATCGCATAACTATAATGATGTTGTTAATATTATTATTATGTTTGTATAATTATAATATTTAATATGCGCTGATACTATATATAATATCCACTTTTTGAATGTAATTTTTGTTTACATAAATTAATATTCATGAAAATGTAATTATAAAGAGGAGCAGCAAACGAAACGAGGTGATGATGATGATGATTATAATTATGATACTGATCATGATCATGATCATGATAATGATAAAGATGAACAACTAAAAACCACATCTATCTCTGTGTGTGCAAGTCTATGGCTATCTCTTTCTCATTTACAGCGAACGTAGAGAATTGGAGAAAGTGAAAGTGGGCTATTAAGTGAAATGGATTCGATTTCGTCCATATCATTGAGCTCGTTCAGAAATAATGTCTGGCGAGGATGTCGAGAAGTTGGTTCGAGGTGAAAATGCCTTGATTAGGCAACATTTCGATGCAAACGCTTTAGCAATCATGAGGCCACAATATATGTGGAGTGGAGTGTGTAGAGGAGTGCGGCGGATACTGTTAAAAAGGATATCTATCTATATAAATATATATATATATATATAGTATATATGGGCAGATTACCTACAAGACATATGTACATGTATATTAAATAATGCAAATCTCACGTCTTTTTAGTCTGATGAGAGAAAGCTTTGATTGGGCATACGTGAAAATAAGTGTGTTGAGATGTTCTCTCTTTTGTTTACAATAAAAATAATGAGTAGAAAGTAGGAAAAGTTCTACTCTGCATGTCCCATAGAATTTTAAATAAATGCCAGACGTTTCTCGCCACAAGTTTTTTAAAATTAAGGTGGCACTGAAAGAGCTTTAGGAGTTTTAAACTTCGAAATCGAAGGGTACAAAGGTTGCATTGCCCTTCTCCCACTACTCAACGATCTTTAGCCATTGGGATCAGCATTCTAGAGACAATGATCTAGCATTGTGTAGATAAGTAGCTCCTTGCTGCTAAAATATTAGTTTAGAACAGCTGTAATGGTATGAGGAAAATAAACCCAACCAACGTACACATGAAAGTTTTCTCTTCGGGTCTTTTGTTTGGATAGCTGTAGTTACGCCAACATTTTAAATAGATCATTTGATAAATGCTGCTATTATTTTGGAATATTAGATGAGTATCTAGAAGGCAGCTGTGGACTTGACTTACTACATAGTCGATATGTAACACACGTAGGATGTCTGCTTAAGTAGAATAATCTGTTATTAATCAAATATAAATTCTTAATGAAGTGACATGAGAATTGACTGTGCAATGGACCATACACTATAGTCAGTAATATCGCAATTTTCCAAAGTTACACTCATTTTTTCATCGTTAACGGTAGAGTGCTTGAAAAAAGAGCTTCTTAATTAATGGTTCAGTTGTTATCATTTCTAGGACCATTCAAAGCGAAGATAGAGGATGGGAAAAATAGCTAACAATTATGATCAGTATACGATTGTTGATATGTAATGTTCATGCATTTGATTTACTTTTTAAATATCGCAGCTATCCTAACTTTTAAAAAAATCTGTCTGAACTATTTCCAAAGTAAATCATTTCAGAACTCGAGTGTGTTTACATTTTTGCAAAGATGTCTTTTGATTCCAAATCCTGTTAGTTACAAATTAGGAAAATTTGAGAACTGTTTTAACATGAGACTTTTGAGATAAACAATTTGACTTTTTGAATCGTTTCTATTTGGTATAAGAATGCAACTTCTAACCAATATCTAAATAAAATAGGAATTTCGCGGACTTGGCCAATAAATAAATGAAATTTTTCAACTATTCGGGTATTGAATCGTTTGTATTTGGTATAAGAATGAAACTTCTATCCAATACTTAGCATTACTACCTACATATCTGATCACTAATGAGGAAAGAGTCAGGTGTCAACCCACATAGAGATCTCTCGGCTGTCGAATGTGTTATATTTATTGTTAAAATATTTTAATCGCTTTTCATTATGCAAAATGAAGATGCCGACTGTGTTCGGTTTGCTGTTGTTGTTGTTGTTATTTTTTAAATTGGTTTTGCCCCTCCGATTAAAATTTTGCTGCTCGTTTGCTTTTATTAGACGCTATGAATTGCACAATCAATAATGGAGTTGACCAATGCGATCCAATTTGATTTCGATACGTTTTGACCTGCGCGTTGAGCGCCTCGGCGTGGCACCAACAATAACAATAACAATCAGCGGCTTTAACAACTTGAGCAGCTTAAGTTATTTTTTTCTTGACAAAAAGAGGCAACAACAAAAACAAGAAATAGACTGTGTAAACTAAAAAGTTTGTTGCAAAAATTTGCATTAGTTTTCATTGTTTCCCACTTTGTTTTGGCATTTCTTTTCGCACAGCATTTTAGCCAAGTTTGTATTCAAATTAAAATAAAACTAAACCATTCGAAAGAAGTGTTGCCTTTTTACAGGCAGTTACAAATCTCTTCGGCTGTTTAATGGGGAACAAATTACATTCTTCTAATTCAGGGACTTCCCCCGAAAATAGCTCCTTGCTATGAAGCTCGGTTATATGTAGGTTCGTATGTATGTGTGTGTGTGTGTGTGTGTGTGTGTGTGTTTGGAGGGTGTCCACTTCAGTGGCTCCAATTTGTGTTTGTTTGCCGTGTCATCGCACCGGTTTCGGATTGTCTATGGCTCGCGGATTATTGTTTATTGCCCAAATGTGTTGCGGCCTCATTAGGGAAACGGTTTTCAACTGGTTTTGCGCCTCATTTGCATGCAAAAGATACAAAGTATCTCCACCCTCTCCGCCCTCGTCCCCATCGCCAATGCGATGTGAGAGTGATAGTGCCAGTGTTTGTGCGTTTCCTCCACTTCTGTTAATCCATTTCTTGCGTTTCGGGGGCCTGTGCGCTACGTCGGTCGACGCATCGATGACGAAAGCAAACCGTCTGGTGGCGTCGGCGCCGCTGCAAACGCCGGGGGCGAAAGTCAACGGACGACGACAACGATGCGTACGACCATTGGGCAAGGCAAGGCGTCGTAATCGGTTTGCGGTCTCTTCGGCAACGTCTCTGCTTGGCCAGCTGGGTGTTGATGGTGTATAAAAGCCTCGTTCACCGTTGGAATCATCATCAGTTAACTCAGCGTCTTCGTTCTTCAGCTACGTGAAGTTCCATAGATTTCGTCTTAAGCAAGAAACTTCCAGCAATGAAGGTATGTGGAAGCAAACCCTAAAAGCTCTATGGAGAGTCGGGAACGGTATAACTAAAGTATTGTGCCCTCATCCTCTTACTCTACAGATCTTTGTGTGTTTGTTCGCTACACTCGTTGCCACTTGCTCGGCTGGCATCCTTGGTGGTGGCGGCGGTGGCTATGGCGGTGGCAGCAGCGGCGGTGGTGGTTACAGTTATGGCATCGGCAGCAGCGGATCCCATGGACACAGTGAAGTGCGCACCGTAAAGGTCATCCATGAGGATAGTCATGGACATGGTCATGGTCATGGCGGCGGCCATCATGGTGGTCATCAGGAAATCAAAACTGTTAAGGTCATCCATGAGGAGGGCGGCCATGGTCATGGCGGCGGTTACGGCGGCGGACATGGTGGTTTCAGCGGCGGTCACCAGGAAGTGAAGACCATTAAGGTCATCCATCAGGAAGGTGGCCATGTGGGCGGCGGTGGCTTCTCGCATGGTGGTTTCTCCGGCGGACATGGCGGTGGCCATCAAGAGATCAAGACTGTAAAGGTTATTCATCAGGAAGGCGGCCATGTGGGCGGCGGCAGCATCGGCGGTGGTTACTCCTACGGCGGCGATCATGGCGGACACCAAGAAGTCAAGACTGTTAAGGTGATTCACGAGGAGGCCGGTGGACATGGACATGGACACGGCGGTTTCTCCGGCGGACACGGCGGCGGTCATCAAGAGGTGAAAACTATTAAGGTCATCCATGAGGAAGGTGGTCATGTAGGTGGCGGCAGTATCGGCGGTGGTTTCGTGGGCGGACACGGCGGCGGTCACCAGGAAGTGAAAACTATTAAGGTGATCCATCAGGAAGGCGGCCATGTCGGCGGCGGTGGTTACTCGCACGGTGGTTTCTCCGGCGGACACGGCGGCGGCCATCAAGAAATCAAGACTGTTAAGGTTATTCACCAGGAAGGCGGCCATGTAGGTGGTGGCAGCATCGGCGGTGGCTACTCCTATGGTGGTGACCATGGAGGACACCAGGAGGTCAAGACTGTCAAGGTGATTCACGAGGAAGCCGGTGGACATGGACATGGACACGGTGGTTTCTCCGGCGGACACGGTGGTGGCCACCAAGAGGTGAAGACCATCAAGGTCATACACGAAGAGAGTGGCTTCCAAGCTGGTCCTGGTCCCAGCCTAGAGTACCTGCCTCCCGTTTCAGCACCCGCCCCCGGCTATCTGCCCCCCTCCGGTGGCTGGAAATAAGCCAATCCTATGAGGCGTCCAGCTGTTCTGTGATTCGAGCTGTGTGTCATAACTCTGACCTCTATTGTTGATTAGTTGTAAGCTTCATTTTTTTTCAACGTTTTTTTCCATTAGCTCTTAAAGAAAATATTGCACACCATTTTTTTTTATTGTTGAAATGTTACAAAATACACAAAAACCTATAAGTTATAAAAACATAATAATCATGTTTCTCATTATAAACGCGCATCCGTTCATGGGTCAAAGAAATCAATCTAACCGAGCCCAGCAGATGGGTAACGTTCAGAAAGATAATTTATTGCTTTATGCCCCGAAATGCAATTTGTTATGCCGAACTTCGATGCGCCACACTAGTCAATCCACTTGGGACCAGATTGCAACAATCTGTATAAAATTACTTAAGACGATGACCAATTTAGAGTTACTAAAGTGCAAACAGTTTAGCTTGGCATTTGGATAGACAATATTTTAGACGTACGAGTATGCACTACAATTCTTAGTCCATCCACTCAAGAGCTTCTCCTATGCAGATCCAATTTACTTGGATTTTGTACACCAATACGGAAATAGTTTATTTTTTCGCCAAACGCCTACAGTGGTAGAAATAAGTGGATCCTTCAATGGTATTCCAAAGCTTGCTTCCAGTGGGTTGGTATATTAGGTAAAAATTCGGAGAAAATAGTCGATTTACAACAAATTTGTATAATGGGGTTCGGAAAATTACTAAATATTCTGTGATATGATGTTATATACTACAAGTATATACTATATGCAATCATAATTACTAATTATTCAACACCAAATAGTATTCCAAAAATGATTGTTTAACGAATGAGCTTCACTCGGAAGGCATGGGAGACTATAACTACGTTTATACTAGCCTGAAAGTAGGAAATTATTTCAAGATATGGACGAAAAATCATGATTTGCAGTTACTTACAAAATCTTCTATAGCCTTTAATGCAACGCAGCTCTCTGGAAGATTTTAATTTTAGCATCAAATATGAAATTCAAGAAAACACTATCGATTAGTTAATATGTACATAGAAAATTGAGAGGAAGGGATCTTGAGACAAATACTAACTCGAGAAATCCATGCAAGTGATAACCGATTTAATTTAAACATGGAAAAAGTAATCTACAAAATCCTGCTGTTATGAGCCAACTTAATAAAGAACGACCAAGAAATACATGGCAGCTTAAAACCAATAACCACAGCCATCAAGTAACTATCACGCGGATGGGAAAAGACTACTCTGATATAAGAAATATAGGCCATATAGGTTTGAATATCAGAAGAGAAGGTTGTACATAGGAGTAGGACGCATATAAATCCGAGGTTATCTGGCAGATTGGCGAAAACAGTTTCCGAACGGGTGGGGTCGATCACGGCTATAGTGGACTGACAGAATCGCAATATCAGATAAGTCACGATAATATCTTGTATTATTTGTGTTACTAAAACTGCAGCAAAAAAATTAACAGTTTCATTTGTCTATCTTTAAAGCTTTTTTTTCGCAGCCCACAGTTAGTTGTTTTTCTGCTTTCAGTTTGAAAATAATGTTGCCCCACTTCTGGGTTGAATTTTTCCCAGATAAACTAAATTCAAATCTGGAAAAAAGAGCAACCAATATTTCTGCTGCTCTCCTCGGCGATTCTCATCAATCAATAACAAATTCTGCTGCTTCAAATGTAGTTTGACAAATCGATATACGTAATGTTATCTGATTTGGAAACGTGTCTGCTGAATATTTTGGTTGTTATGCATTTTTTTGATCACGTTCGTTGCTCAGCTGTCTAGCTTCTTCTCATGTTACTTTCACGCACTTAAGGCCCTATTGGGGGCTGCCAGATGGAAGCCATGCAATCAAACGGTAGCTGAACGAGCGGATTAGCTTTGATTGGGAAATAGTTGTGTATATGTAAGTATATGGAGACGAAATGCATATTATGCCTATATGTTTAATATTTATTTATATGAATGTATATCTATCTTAAAATTCACTTGTGATTGTTGAGTATTTTGGTGACCTTCCTCATAGTTATTTTTATTGTTTGGCCGGCTCGAGGTCAGAGTAAGAAAAACCAATTTATTTAATTTTCTTTTCTTTTTCCGATATATTTCGGTTACGCCACGGTAACCGTCTTCAGGGCAATTATTTAAGCAAGTCTGCTCTGTTTGACTTGGAGTTACTAACTGACTTGGAGTTAGTAACTCCAAGTCAAACAGAGCAGACTTGCTTAAATAATTGCCCTGAAGACGGTTACCGTGGCGTAACCGAAATATATCGGAAAAAGAAAAGAAAATTAAATAAATTGGTTTTTCTTACTCTGACCTCGAGCCGGCCAAACAATAAAAATATTCACTTGTGATGTTAGCGGTGTGCTTGGTGCGGTGGTGGATAAATAAATAAATTATAGTTTAGGCTTATTTATAGCTTTAGGTTCTATTGTTTTAGGGTTTTCTTTTGTTCACTTGAAGGCCCAATCGTGGCTTGCACTCGCCCGTAGCATGTGTCGGCGTTGCGGCTGCTTCTGCGTCTGCTGTTCGATGCTATTGCTGTTGATGATGTATTGGCGGAGCGGCAGGGGACGTGGTGAGGATGAGGTCAAGGCTCTTGGGGCAGCGGTCGTGGTGGGGCGCCAGTTCGAGGGCAACCAGGGTGTATCGTTGTCATCGGCATCCAGAGTGTTGGTGTAACGTTGATAGGCCCCGCTTGCCTCGGGCATGGCATCAAAGTTTTTCTGGGGCTGCACATCGTTGTGCACGCGAAGATTCAATAGCAGCTCGCCATCGTCATCGATCAGATTGTACAACTTGACGCCGCTGGATGCCGCATCGTGACCTCGCAGCTGGGCGCGTTCCAGACGCAGCTGATGTTTGGGTTTCTTGTTGAACGTTGGCGCCGGCTGTCTTGGCCTTGGCTTTGGTTTGGACTTTGGGGGGCCATAGTGCATGGGCAGGAGGCGGGAGGCGCGGTCTTGCGCCTGCAGCTGCCGCAGAATCCCCAACGGCAGCAGCAGATCCGATTCGAAGGGCAGAAACCCACTTGCCCGCACTTTAATAATGTTCCGTCGCACTGCTGCTGGTGGAAAATTGTAGGAACTGCAGCCGAAGCTGCAAGTCAGCAGCAACACTAACTGCAGTCCAGTAACGCACTCTCTAGGTGGCATGTCTGCTACAACAACAACAACAACAACAGCGACAACAATAGTGGTCGGCACATGTCAGTTCAATTTTCAAAAAAATATATCAATAATACAAGTATCTATACACTTCTTTCAATCCAATAACAATTACAAGAATTCACAGACAAAACATTTCCCAACAAAATTGTAAACAAACAAAAAAAAATTGAGGTAAGATGTGGAAACGGTTCGGAGCCGGAGCCGCGCAGCTCATTCTCAGGCGCGTATTGCACCAACTGACGGGAACCGCACATCGAAGTACGCCCGACACCGCGAACAGGCCTACCCAGATAGACAGACAGACAGACAGACAGTCAGACAGACAGTCAGTCAGACAGACATAGAGGCAGTCAAAGAGCTAGAGCACAGACATTAAAACGAATTAATTAGAGAAAATTTCGTCGCTGGGTTTTCAAAACGGGCACGGGAGCGCCAGTGCTAGTGCTAGTGCCGGCATCGCTGCACAGTGTGACCAAATTATGCGAAATTATGGCAAAGAAATATTTTTACAAGCTTCGTTTGGAACTTCAATTATTCTTTAAATTATTAGTTGTAGTTTCTTTTGATATTTGACTTGCATTTCTTTTTTTCAATATTTCTAAAAAAAATATTGTTCTTGACTTAAGAGGTATGTATACAAGTACTTGTTCAGAAATTATAGACACAAAATATTTATTGGATTATGAGGTTTTTAAATTGTAATAATAATTATATCATAGTGATAAATATGGAAATAAACTTTGCCGTACCAAACATTCCTGTGGCAGCTATATAAATTTAGATTAAGAGGGAGCACTACATAATACATTATAGGTTTATAAACAACAATGTTTTTAGTAACAGGGCTTTTTTCTACAATTATCGTTTCTATATTGATTTCAAATATCGAAATAATTACTAATAGATCATTTCCAGTATCTATAGTATTTAGTTATTAATAAAGACTGCCGGGGCTTACCTAAGTTATGGGAAAAGTCTTTGGTTTTATATTTTAATAAAATAGTTTCCATAGTTTTTATGAGTAATATTAATAATTTGTTTCTCAATGATGTTGTTAATTTCTGTTTAAAATTGTTCGGCCCTTAACTTTTTAACAATGTTTAATATAATTAACTAATTACATTTCGTGATCTGATTCTCATTATTAAGAACTATTGTTCTGGTTCGCTTATCCTTTTATCCAATTATTTAACCTAATATTATTTGGGAAACATTTGTAGAACCAATGCAACAGCTTTATGTCTTAATCTTTGACTTAAAGAATTATATTATAAAGAATTAGTTAATAAATTAGTGGAGGCATTCGATTGAATAGCACCAGACCTGACTACATAACTATTTAACTTGCAAATTATTACAAATTTAAAACTAACTTTTTGTAAGTTTTTTTTTTTTTTTTTTTGCAATTTCTCAAAATTGTTGAACTTTGTTGAATGCGAAAAGTTTGGTTGAAAGGACCTTTAAGAAAACATAAACTAATCGCTGGCATTTATAGCTAAGAACAATATTTATAACTTATGTAAATGTCAGCTCAAATTGTAGTTAATTATTGTAGATGGTGCAAAATAATTGCCTCACTGTGCGAGCTCTTTGGTTTGGCTTGTCTTTGAATTGAAAATAAAAACATAACTGCTGCTCTTTTACAGTTTATTATTATTGTTGTTGTTGCTGTTGCCTTTGTTGGCAACAATCTGTTTTTTTTTCTACATCTTTATGTCCGACACAAAATTATTAATACATATGTATGTGCATATGTCTCATGTCTGTGTGAGTGTGTATGTGTGTGTGTAGTTTGTAACTGATTTATGCTACTCTTAACCAGAATAATTCTTTTCTCTAGTGACCGTCGCGCTGCTGAAAACAAAAGGCTGGCACAAACAAATAAAAAAGACAAAAGACAAAAAACAAACAAACAAACAACAGGTTCAAAAAGTGGGGTCATTAATGTGGGCCATAAATGCGTGCTCGCTACCGTCTAGTGCTGACCCCCTCATCTGGCTGACCGGTCCATGGTTTCTGCAGAGTCGGAGCTGCACTCTCGCTGAAATCGGTTAATGTGCCACATGTGTGCGTGTGTTTGTCAGCTGCTCCTCATTAACATTAAAATAATACTAACGCTTTTTTTTTGTGGCCATCACACAAAGGAAAAGGTATCATATGTGCGGTAAATAAACCCCAACAGCAGTAACAACAAAGACATATGCAAATTGTGGGGAACGGAAAAGCGTAATAGAGATTTTTCACCGCTTCCACTGTTTTTGTCAATTGTTTTCCGCTACTCCGCCTCCTCCTCCACCTCCTGCTGCTGCACCATAAGCCCCAACACCAACACCAACACCATCATCATCACTCTCACTATCGATCGCCATGGGTTTTGGGACCAGGGTCGGGTCAGGCCGAGCCGTGCCGTGCCGTGCCCTGCCGGTTTTTGTCTAACGGGTCTCGTTGTAGCGTCGATGGTCGAAGATTCAGTTAATTGGTTAATCTGATAAATGCGTCTCAAATGGCTTTGTTTAGAGAGCATTTCGAACCGGTTTTATAACAATTTCGTTTACTTTTATTTCATTTTATTATACTTGTATATATACATATATATATACGTATCTACACACATCGTAGGCTATAGTATAGCGTTCTTACAACATTTCTTTTTTTTGTTTAACAATACGAAAAAAAAAATTGTATGTACATAGATTTTGTTTACTTATGTACAATTATCGTAAGCTATTAACTTATACATTAATCTAATTGACTAGCATTTTCGTATGCGTTTGCATTTGTAACTGCAGGTCCAAAGTCATTTTAAATCAATGCCATTCAGAAATGTTGAATAACTTTTAAATGTCTGTCATTTACATTTCTCTGCCAGTTCAATAAAATTATAGAGTCGGTGACTTCATCAATTCATTCACCTTAATAATGCCGTTCAAAATTATCATAAAATTTCAAGCCTTTTTCAAAATTTAGATTTGTGGTTATCGAACACTGTTATTAAATTTATTTCAATTCAAACATTTATCAGTTTTATTCTATTTAGCTTTTATTATGGTATAATTAAATTTCAATCTTTTTCACCAAGTTTCGTATACACTTTCTAATGCTAGTAAAGCACCGCAATCCATATTCATTAAGTAGCTTTACTTTCATCATTCATTTTTTTTTTTCAATTTTAAAACAAGTTTAATGTTTTTTCAATTAACATATTCCTATGTTTATCTTTTCTTTGTTTTTATTCATTGGCTGGTAGCTCTTCAGTGTTTGTTAGTTTCTTTATAAGAATTGTGCACCTTCACAATTCTTGACTGAACATTTTTAAGCTACTTGTATGTAAAACTAAAACAAAATTGTTGTAACTGTCAATTCAATTCAATTCAATTCAACGGAGTTTACAAGTTCAATTTCTAGGGCGCCGTTTAGAAATTACATTTCGTTTTTGTTCAATTATCAATTCAATTTCAATTCAATTGTAATTCATTTTCAATCCATTTTAAATCAATCTCAGTTAAATTTCAATTCATTTTCAATCAATTTTAATCCAATCTCAGTTCAATTTCAATTTAATTTAATTTCATTTTGTTATTTTTTTAAAATAAATTTTTTAAATTCAATTCACATTTTCATTCAACACATGTTATCTTTTAAATTTTTAAATAACTGAACAATGTTTTTTTTATTTCAACTGTTATTAATCCGTTCAATGTTGATCAATTTGTTGAAAGAGTGCACAACCTTAGCTCAATTTTAATTAAACAGCTTTGAAATAATTGCAGACTTTGGCTTGCGTACACTAAGCTATGAATATGGGCGTGGTATATTAAGTTGATGAATCGTATGTGACTTAATTCTTATACTACACATATATGTAACTATGTACGCATACATACACATACATACATACATACATACATACAAACAGTTGACAACTTACACAAACCATAAAATATTTATATATACATATACAAATACTGTTTCTCTAATTAATATATACATATATATAGTATATATATGCGTATTGTCATAAAAATAAGATTAATTATATGAAATACATACATATGTACATACATAAGTATGTATGTGCACATGTATGTAGAAGAACATCTAGGCTAATCCAATGTGATATGCGGATTTGTATAAGTAAACCCATGAAATTGTTTTTGATCCATTGAGGCGAGTATTTCTTTGTCAATGGGTGTTAGACGAACGCGCTCTCTCGTGAAGACGCGATCAAAATATTGCGTATCCAACGGGTGTTTCTAAAAGCAATGCAAGTTGTACAAATTTCTGAAAACGAAAGCTCATACTTGTATAATTTAACTTACAACTTGGGGCTTGAACGGGGGCTCAATTTGTCGTTTCTCCAGCAAGTTCCAATCAATGGGTCTGAAGAATAAATGATCGGCTATATCACCAGCTGGACTATATTGCGAGCCAATGCGTTTTGTATAATCCTTTTCCAGTAGCTAAATATATACATGTATATATATATATATATAATTGTAAATATGAAGGTGTCTATAAAGCAATTGATCAGGCTACTTACGCCTTTTAATATGCCTGTGGCTTCGGCTGTTATATAGACTGGGAACCATGGAATTTCATTGCATATCGACCAGAAGAGCTCGTCTTCGTCGCAGCCACTGAAGGGGGACTGTCCGATAAGCATTTCGTAGAGCAGCACACCGAAAGACCACCAATCCACATTTTGATTGTACTTTTCACCCTGAAAGCAATAATCGGAATGATATAAGATGAGCATAGCTCTTAAGTTAACTGAACTAAGTTATTAAAGATAGTAGTATCTTCGATAGTGCAGTAAAAATTTGAAAAAATGTTTCTAAGAGAGCTACTTCCTTACTTCCACGATATAAGCAGCTTGTAATTAAAATCAACCAGCATATAGTAGCTTTAGGGATATTCTTAGCTTTTGATTCTTCTAGTTAATATGAAGTCTTTTGTTGGAGAAGTATTAGATTCTGTTAAATAAGAATAAAGTTCGCTTAGAAGAGACTGTGAAACGGATAATCCAGAGAGAGCCTTTAATCCATTTTGATCCAGAAATGCATATTTCCAGAGGCTGCCTAGTCTTTAAAGCAGAGGTCTACCAAAAAATTGACGGCAGTTCTTTCGATATAGAAATGTTATAATGTTAGAATACGAGACTTAATTATGGTATTTCTTCTTGAATTCATCAAGTTTATTATTCAATTGCTTTATTTATTTATCTGGGCATAATTTATTTTTTATAAAAATACAAAACCCTTTTATATGTTATAAACTTTGCCTCGTAATTGAAAGTAGGCCATAAATGTATATAATTCTAAAGAGAGGGAGAGGGGGTCATGTCTTAACATTTGCTGAGCCCTATTTCTAATATTGATATTCATGGCGAATTATAAATGGTTTCGGAACATACCTTTATGATTTCGGGTGCCATATAATCGGGTGTGCCACAAAAACTATCAGCGGTCTTGTCCAAATAAATTTGTAACTTACACATGCCGAAATCGGCAATACGCACATGACCTTCATAGTCGAGCAGCACGTTGTCCAATTTGAGATCCCTGTGCGGAAGTGAGTGTGAAACTGTGATTGGTTTTAGGGAAAGTGGTCAATGGCTTACCTATATATAATGCCCTTTTTGTGTAAGAATTTGAGACCTGATATGATTTCAGCGCCATAGAAACGTGCCCGCTCCTCTGAAAAGCGTCCGCTTTCCTGTATGTGGAACATGAGATCACCACCATTCAGATACTCCATGACAAAGAACAAATGACTCTGAAAAAGAGCAATTAATGAGATAGAGCAGACAAAAATATTTAGGCAATTGTTGCGCCATCTGACAGACAAAGTCCCCCAAAATCCGCACACGAATGTATCCTCAAAGTCATAAATAATTAAAATACCTTCTAATCGGTGTCAATGCAATGCGCGACTGAGAGGTGAGAGTGCCCAGAAAAGAAAAAAAAAAAATTAAACAAAACAAAAAAAAAAAAGAACAACTAAAAGGAAAATGTAGAATAAGAAAACATATTGTTTAGAGAACGTTGTAGAAGCATCATTGTAGAGACGAGAGACTGCCACATGTTGTGCCGGACATCTATGCACAATATAGACGCCAGAGCGCCCTGATCTATGGCTATATGGTGTGGGGCTGTCTGAGCACATCGTGCCATGTCGTTGTGGCATTAGGCGTGTGCCCCAATCGATGGTCACACATTGCACACTAATAATAGATGTTTTACCTTTTCACTGTATCTATTTTTGTATCTGGCGGATACTTTGTATTCTGTACGAGTATTATCACAAGATGTTTCGACTATGGCCATACTTGTAGATCACTAGGTGAAGGCCTGTCTCCCATCAAGCAAAAAAAAAAAATAAAAAAGAGAAGAGAAGAAAACCAACTAGAAACTATGCTAATTGATTGCCTGTCACTGTCCAAATATTGTGCGCCCATGGACCGACCACACCCCCCTCCCGCCTCTCCTTTCTTAGACGAATCGCAGACCCACCTCCGTTTGAAATGTGCAGAACAGATGACAGAGATATGGATGTTTGGTGCCCAGGGCCAGCACTTTGCGTTCGATTAGTGTTGAGTCGACATCATCGTCCTCCAGTACCACATCCTTCTTCAGACACTTCACGGCATAATAATAGGTTGTATCACGTAGCTCAGCCAGCAGCACCTGTGGGATTCATTTCATTGTTAGATGGGCAGCTCAAGGGCTCTCTCTAAGGCTCTTTGAGCTAAGGATCATACATGTTAGTCTATCATCAAACTTGTTAGTTCTTGTAGTTTTCGGGGGGGATTCAAGAAATATTTTTAATGGAAATACAAGTAGAACGGCGTTTTCTGAGGATCTTGATAGCTGGATCGGCAACTATCGGTGATGACGAGATTTTCTTTATATTTTTAGCGCGTTTTATAGCTATATACAAGTATTAGCGCTGCTTTTAGCCGTTTTCGTTCTTGATCAATTTTTAGTGGATTTTCTGGCTATTTCTTAGCGGTTCATCTTGCCATTAGCGGATTTTCTATCTACTCAAAGCGGTTTTGTATCCAAATTCCAGCAGGTAGAATACCTGTTTTTAGCTGGGCTTTCTACCTTTTTCTAGTGCACTTTCTTGCTACTTATAGCGGATTTTCAAGTCATTTTCTAGCTACTTATAGTTGTGTTTCTAGCCATTTGCTAGCTATTTAAAGTTTCTAGCCACTTTCTTGCACTTCTTCTAGCCATTTTTAGTGGGTTATCTGTCCATTTATAGCGATTTTGTATAAATTTTGTAGTATAATCTACCCATATATAGCCGGACTTTTAACTATTTGCAAGTATAACGAGTTTCCCAGCTTTTTCAATGGAGTTTCTTGCTATGTATTTATAGCGTATTTTCTATCGAACATTCTAGTTCTTTTTATACGATTTTTTAACCATTTTATATGTATGTATTGTGTTTCTAGCTATTTTCCCCGATAGCCAACAACGATAACCATTTTCTAGCCATTATTTTCAAGCCAAATGTACATAAGCCATCAATCATTGCTGAGTAAGTTTAAAGGCTCCCCTTACCAATTAAAAAACAATTAACTTAAATAAAACTACTCCAATATAGCCTTAGTGATATCTCATCTATTTATTATCGTATATTTAAAGTCTTGTATATGTAATTATTAAATCCAAATACTTCTGTTCTGCACAAACTTAGATATTGCCTGTTAATTATGAAATGCCTAATTTTTCTTGAAATGCAATTAAATGTTCCATCAAAACCGTCTAAGTCGACCTTGTATCTGATAAATTGTTAAGGCAGGAATTAAATATTTGCAATGTTCTATAATGGGTCTCTAAAATTTGTTAGCTAGTGTAATTATCAATAGAGTCAGTGCTTGTTTACTCACCTTGCCGAAACTTCCTTTGCCCAGCACGGCCAGAAAATGAAAATCATCTACCGAGTAATTCTTAAATCTAGGTATTACTGTTGCTGGCGCTGTGAAACGTCCGGATTTTTGGAATTGTGAATATGTATATGATGTTTCTGTATGATCAGTTTGTTGTTTTCCCCAGAAGTCAGGAATCAAGAATAGTTGATTGCAAGCAGAATATAGAGATAAATAGAGAGATATTGATCAGTAGGCATAAAGAGAACATTAAATTGTTTTTAGAAGGCCTTAAAGGTTTGTGTTTCGTGTTCGAAGACGGTTCGGTGGTCACTTGAATAGCGCTCGATATACGATTATACCTAGATAAGTGTTCTGGTTAGATGTGAAACATATATGCATACCATCGTGTTCATCACTGGCCTCTATTTTATATGCAGGATTTGTACTGGGCGGTGTGCTGGGTGAGTCGCGAGCTTCACGGGCTCCTGGTTTAAAAAATTTCCATCAATTTAATGCTTCAACAATAAAATGACAAAAGCTGCATTGCTCACAAATTTATTTTGGTGTGTGTGCGATTGTGTGACTACAGTTTATATATCTCTCTTCAAGATTTTTATTTTATCTATGGCTTAAGAAGAAAATAGAGTTCGATTATTTGTTCAACAGGAACTTGAAAACTTATTTTGATCTGCCTTGGTTTCCAACCAATATTGACTGAAGTAAAAATGAAACCAACACTTGTTAACTTTTTTGATTTGTTTTTACTAATAATACGCATTAATAGCCCTTTCGAAATCTATGAAATATTTAAAAACAAATGCTGAAATACTTGTATATTCCTTAAGTTGATTTCCAGAGCTTTTTCTGCGCCATAGAAACTACTCAGACTAATTATCTGGATGAAATTATTTCAAAAATGGAAGAAAATTCTATTCTCGTATTGAGAGAGATCATTTAATTGAAAAACTTATAGCCAGCATAGCACGGAACAGTCAAGCTACTTAAAATTCTGATTAATTCTTGCATCAGTTTGTAATAAACATGTAGAAATCGTCTGATGTGTTTTCCTTAAGTCTGGGAACCCGGAACTGCTTATCGCTTCGCACGATAGATTACCGAGAACTGTATGCGGGAATCGCATTTGCAGAAGATTAAAATAATAGCCCTAGCAAATAGCTTATCACAGATTCCTACTTAACTGTTTTTGTGGTATGACAAGCCTAATAAATTGTTGAGAACTGTCTCGAGTGCTGAAAAGAGCAAGCAGAATGGCATTTGTTGAAACTTGGGGAAGACTTTAATCCTAGATATGCCACGTATGTAAATGATTATGTGAGTACGTGTGTTGCAAATTTGTGAGTGTCGAAAGGATTAGATCACACTTTAAAAGAGGGCAGCCATATTTGAATCGATTTCGTACCTCATAAAATCCATTGACTCCCCCCACCTAAACAACGTTGATTTATGCTTAGCCACGTGATATAATTAATCGTGGCTAGCCACTAGCCCCTACCCACACACACATACACATGCTATAGATATAGATACATAGAAATAAATTTGTGAGGGAAACGCAATTATTCAATCATAGGAGCCAAGGCAGTATTTATGGCTTCAGTTTCTGTTTGTTCGGCGCTTGAAATGCATTCGCCATTTCCTTCTCTCGCCTCGCTCTCCTGGGAGAGAGTATTGCTGAGAGTACTCTATAGATTGGTGGTCTCTGGTTTACCTCGCTTCACATAGTTGAGCGCCTCGACGATCAGTTTTTGATTGACGCCGCATAAATTGGCCGTGAGCCGTTCGCATCTCTTGTGACAATTCACGTCACATTCTGCGTGGGTGACGCGTTGGCATGTTGTTATTGTTGTAGTAGTAGTAGTTGTTGTTGTTGTTGTTGTTGCGTGTTTTGGCAGCGTAGGTGGCCAAAATGTTTAGATGAATTAAACAAATCGTTATTAATAAATACATGTATATTAGGCATCTTCATATACGAGTATATGTAATGTCAATGCTTTGGCTTTTGCGATTTATTGGCAACACGCTTCTTTGGCCCCAAATTGCATTGGGAATTCGCATGAAAAATTCAAATCGCAAACTCTATATATTCCTTATATATGTATATACCTATAGTACATACATATATGTATGTTTGTATAAAATTATAGAATAACTTGCTGCTTGGGTTCTGTTCGGTTGCTCTTAGCAATTAAACTGATTCGCCATTTCGCAAGCAATTAAAAAACAAAAGAAATTGCAATCAATACACGCTTCACTTTATATTTTTTGTATACATATTAATACATACATACTTGTATGTATGTACATAGTAGTATATACATACATATGTGTATACAAGTTTTTGAAAATGTAGGTACACAAATGTGGAAATTAACGCACATCCGTTTTGCCAACTTAAATTGTAGCGTGGATGGTTTTTATTGCGATTTTAAAATATACATTGCATGTACGAGTATTTTGCACATATTACTCATACGCCGTGTAGTCGGCGTTTTTGAAACTTTCCAAGAAATAAGATATTACGACTGTTCTATTCAAAGCAAGTTTAATTCGAAAATAAAACAAAACACAAACGTTTTCTTGTCAAGTGTCTAAGGCACTGTTTAGAAAGTTGAAGAAGAAGAAATGTAAATACGATGCGTATGAGTAATATTATTTGATAGAATATAAGCAGTTAAGAATGACTTACATGGAATTTCTTAATGTGGAACTTCTTGCACTTTTATGAGCCTTTCTAAGGCTACAGTAAACGCTGCTTTGCAGCATTGCTTTGCATTAACGATTGCAGGAGAAGTTGTGTTAACCCGCACGATTTAAACTCAAAAGGAGAAAATGTATTTGTTGGATACTATTAACAACTTAATCAAGTAAATGTATATGTTTTTTAACTGAAAGATAATTATTTGCCTGTTTAGTTGTAGATCTTTAGTCTTAGCTTTACTTCCAAATAAATAATTAGAATTTGTTTAACTTAAATATTCGTTGAATTTTGTTGAAAAATGCATATTCTATTTAAAAACGATCTATTAATTTTTTGGTATCAAACAGACATAGACGGCTGTATTGCTTGACTCTCAGAGATTGGTGTACTTTGAAATTTTGCTAAGATTTGGATACTCTACTTAAAACTGATGATTTGATGAAAAAACCTCTCTACCAATACACTTTTAATTGGCATAATTGTGTAGAAGCATGAAATTTTTGTGTATTTTTTGTAACTAACCAACGTGGATTTTCGTTTTGATTGATTCAAATATGGTGAGCTGCAAAGCAATTTGAAAACAGAATTGTTATTTTGGCAGGTGAGGTATTTATTTAAAAATAATCACCTGCCGATTCAATACAACGTGTTTAACGATCTACAAAGTACTTCGAAGGAGTATTTTAGGCCACTGGTTGGCCAGCATGTCCTTCAGAATGGTGGTATAAGCCTTTTGAATGGCTTCAATGCCCCTATAGCGCTTTCCTTTCATGGGGAAATACTGTTTTGCGAAAAGACTATGGAGTGATTAATGATTAAAGTGCCACATTATTGCATAAGAAGTTGTAATCTTCTTCCGAGTCCGTAATTATTTTTTTCAAATTATCAAAAAGTCAACTTGTGTGGAACAAAGCAGACTCAATCGTTCGATTCAAAGACGGTGAATCGTTGACTTGGAGATATGTATTCAATTCGATTTCACTCATTCAACTCATCGCGACCATTCTTGAATCATGTAGACCTTTCGTGGACTCTGCCACGGGATAGACAAATAGCAATTATCACCATAAACTTGTTTTTATCATTTGAAATGTTTCGGAAAAGTTCTACAAGTATTGAGCTTAAAACAGATCTTAACATTTGTTTACAAAGTGTTACTTTGTGTGAGATAACTCGGTGTCTATTCATTCGATTGTCATATATTTTTGTTAGGATGTCGATAAAAAAGTGTGTCTAAATAACCCACCAATATGTGGCGCCCCAAAATTTAAGTATATTTAAGCAAAAGTCCTGTCTACTTTGTATCATTACATACCGGTTATATGGTTAATAATATTTGCTGTTATAGTAGGAAATGCTTCATTATGCTCTGAAGCTTGATTTTCCTGTTGTCATGTGAAAGTTTCTTAATATATTTCATATTCTACTAGCTACTTGTATGTATATATGCATTGCATCAGAATATAGCTCTTTGGATCTAAGTACGAGTATACTTGTATGAAGTGCGCAAATACATTAGAATGCTTGCAATTTTAATCTGAAATTCCTTAAGAAAAATGTTCGGACACTGAGCGATAGCAGCAATTGCAGCACTTGCAACCAATTAGTGGCATGCACTCGTATATAATTGTATAATAAGACATCTAGATACCCGTATCTATAATGCTTAAGAGCATAACATACTTGTATACGTGTACTCACACCTACGTAATGCGGCGCTCTGTTTTTGTTTGTTTGTATATATAAGTAAATATTTTCTATGCAACAAATTTCAATTGTTTGACTCGTGTTCGAGAGAAAAACAATAAAATAACAGAACAGAACTGAACAGAACAGACGTCGACAACGACAACGACGGCGGCGACCCAAACAAATTTTGTACACATTAAGCTAAAAGTAAAATGCCAACGTGTCTGTCTTCCTTCAGCGCCTCAGATCCCCCGACCTAACCATTTTTTGTCTTTAGCTTTTCCCATTCCATTTTCTCTCTCCCACACTCTCCATGGGTGCGTTCTCTCGCCATTGCTGACTGCGAAAATTTGCTGGCAAATTCACAGAAAACTGTAGAAAATGCTCAAAGGTGGGAAATAGAAAAAACAGAATGTGAGGAACTGCAAAGTAATTGCAAAACATGACATGGGAATTATATAAAAAATAAAATAAAAAAAAAACGGAGCAAGACTGTAGCTAAGAAGATTTTCAAGGCTAATCCGAAGGGCTTCAAAGTTCTAGGAAATGCTAGAGCTTATCATGAAGTCATCGCTAATATCTCAAAAAATTTTAGGTTTCAGGTAATATAATAGCTTTCAGATTTAGGTATTCATAACTCATTTAGAATACCAGTTTAGCAGTAATTGTTTGTGCTATTAAATTGCCTGTTTTTCCTTTTTTTTTTGTTAGTTATATGTATAGATAAATTATTTGTACATGTTCATTCATTTTCGACCACCTCAAGCTATTGAGAGAAACAATAGACTGAACCTGAGCCATTCATCATTCATCGTTGCTTACCAGCTCAAGCATACATTATAGATCGAGATAAAAGAGGGGGAAATAAATTGGAAAATTATAGAGGCTATGGAAAATTGGTAGAAACTTTTGAAATTAATGCCTGGTCCTTCTCTTAAAATGAATAAATTGTGCGAAAATTGCTTAATGATGGCACATTTGATAATAAAGAAAGAGTCGAGATCAATGACCTGCTGTGACAAAAAACATTAAGAAATGGCAAAATATAAAATTTTTTTTTTAGAAACCATCAAAGACGCCTAAATCGTATCACTTTTTTCGCAGCTAATTAAACGTGGAAAAAATGCATTTTTTTTTGTGGTGGGTGTTCTACGATCAATAAAATTTAAGCAGCATAGCAAGCTTTAGCATTCGGGAAACACTTAAGACTCGAACAAAGCGAGTGGATTTACGTATTGGGATTTAGTCCTTAACCTATAGACTAAAATTATACTTGTGCTGATTTCTTGCGGCCATAGATTTGGTCTTTAGATTGGTCTAATATGTATGCTTCAGATTAAACAATGTTTAGAGACATTTTAAATATTCTCAAGTTAATTGAGGATTATCCAATTCGTCATCTACAACTCCCATATTTAGTTTAAAGTTGCCCAAAAATAAACGATGAATTATACGTAGAAGTATGTATATTTTCGCTAAATAGTGATAGCTACAAATGTTAAGGATATGCTAGGCAGCTGATGTTTTTCTTCGTTCGGGTGAAAACTGTTTGTATTTTAAGGTAATATCTTGAACGTACATTTACATTTTTGTTACATCAATGTTCAGTTGAAGTATGTTGTTTATAGCTTATTCGGTTTCTAAAAACAAAAGGTTCAAACACTCAAACAGTTATGGCTTGGTTGCCTCAATATTCAGAGCCCAATCAATATAGGAACTATTATAAGTGATCTGTGAAGTTTCTTATTGTGAATGCTACATGCAAGCTAAGCTTCTTCAGGAATGGAATGCTATACAAGTATGTACAGAAAGAAATTTAAATTTGTATTAAGAGCAGATATGATAAATGAAATAGAGCTGGAGCTAGATATATAAGTTATGTATGCAAAGAAGCTTTCGAATTATGGATAATTTCAACAAAATTCTGTAGCGGGTGGAGAAATATATAAAAAAAAAAATCAGGAAATATTAGCGTAACTTAGTGGTCGGTGTGGAGTTGTTTCCAAAAGCCAGGCGTTCATCTAGACAATAGGGAGGATGGACGGACAAGTCATACAGTATCCTAGTTAAGCTAAATATGCTGATTTTAAATATACAAGTATGTATGTACCTTATATACACACCTGGACAGAATATTAGGTGTAACCTTTTTTTTTTCAAAAAAGCCTGCCTTTCTTTTATATTTTAATTTTTCTTAAAAAATAAGATAGTTCAGCGTCATAACAAAACGCTTTTCAAACTATAAGAAAAAAAACTTAGCATTGGATTAATTCAGAATAATAATTCAGAATTCAGAATGCCCAACAACATTTTTAAAAAATATTGAAAATCTGTTATTTATGGTTCCGTATTTTACTGATCCGATTAGGAGGCACTTTATACCCTGAAAATCCGCCATTATTCTTAATGATTTTTTCGATTCCTGCAGACATAAAGGTTACCAACTTCTGACAAATCTGTATATGCCCTAATATCTTCCCTTTTCACTCTTCAGGTACAAGATATATCGATTGGGTCCACTGTTGTTAACCACTCCTAAAATTGTTTTGCTTGATACAATCGACTCTCGTTAATTCGAAACTTGAGGGACTCTTAGCTCTTAGCTCTGTAGCTACATTATGCATGTCATTCCAAACTGGTAATCGAATTCTCATGAAAATCTGTTAATGAAGAAGAGTTCGAGTCGTAATAAGACTTCGGGCTGACTCGTATGTGTGTCGCGTTTTCTTGGTTTTTTTCCGAAATTTGTTTGCAACATTGTTTTCTATGCAATTCTAGGTATAATGTATAGTGTTTTTTCCGCCAGATATTTGGCCAAAAGTTGTTGTTTAGAATTGGTAGACGGATATACATACATATATGATGGTACAGTGGCTATAAAAACCGCACTGCACGCACACATAGAAGGCGTGTTTATTTGTTTCTTGTTTTCGGCGAATCTACGGAATGCCCAAAGATATAAGTTCAGATATGTATGCACATGTGTGTGTGTGTGTGTGTGTGTGTTTGTTTGTGTATTGCTATTGAAAATGAAAGCGAAATTCGACATGCACACATACTGAGGCACACGTTCGTGTCTGCTGCCTGGCGGTGGCAACAACAACAACAACAGCAACAACAACCACCTAAGCAACAATAATGAGAAAAACAACAAAATGCCCGGAATACCTCTAATAATAACAACAACAAATACATTAGCAATTTGTTGATATTTTCGCGACGACACGTGCGCTACTCAAGTGGCCACCAGTGGTTGTTTGTGGTGGTGGTGGTGCTTGCGTGTGTGTCTATGTCTGTGTCTGTGTGTGTGTGTGTGTGTCTGTGTCCACAATGACATTCATATTGCACTCATGATGATCTCAATAGGTCTATTGGTCCAGCGTCTGTCCGGCTCGGTTGCATTCTGCAGACTTACCTAGCATCTTTTTGGGACTGGATGGGGCAGTGCCGCCCTCGAAACCGGAATCATTGCTGCATGTGCTCATGCGTATGATCGATGGTGAGCTGGAGGCGGAGACCGAACTGGTGCCCAGACCACCGGAAGATACGGCTGTGCCGCTGCCCGCCCTTGCCTCCTCATGTTGTTCGGCACGTCTCACAGTTTTGTTGTTGGCCGATGTTGCCGCCTCATCCTCATATTCCTCGGATGTGGTGCTCGTGCATTCCTCGCTCTCATCATCGCTATCCTCGTCAATGGAACCGGTTGCCTCGCTCCCCTCATCACTGCTATCATCCGTATTCTCATCCGAGTAGACAATTTTCTCACGTTTCCACAGCGGACGTGGTGTGGCAACGAGCGGATAGCGTGGCGCCTCCTCCTTCACATAGCATTTGTTGGTCGTATCGATTTTGATTTTCTTGTGAGGATCGAAACGGGCGGGTGCCGCCTCTTTAGCTTTCTGCTTCTTTTTCTCCCGGCGCTGCTTCTTCTTCATGCTGGCACTCAAATTCGCACAACCGTCCGCACTGGAGTAATCGTATGAACTGTCGTCGTCGTCGTCGTCGTCGTTGTCGCTGTCGTCGCTATTTTCCGCGGACGAAGGTATATAGTCCTCTAGCTCGGCGTCAACGTCTCGCAGACACTGTGCCAAATTCGATACTGTTGCAAACTTTGATAAATTATTGCCGACGCCTTCGTCGCAGCTGTTGTTGCTTCGGTCATCGCCGACGCCGATGCCAGAGCCAGTAGCAGCAGCAGCGGCAGCGGCAGCGGAGGCAGAGGCAGCAGCAACAGCAACAGCAGCAACTGCGGCGTTGCCATCACCACTTGATTGTCTCTTTTGTTGTTGTTGGCATGTGGTGGTGTTGGTGTTGGTGTTGGTGATGGTTGTGATGGCGCTCGCTCTCATCTCCTGTTTATCGAAATTTGCGTTGTTGCCATTTTTCCGCGTCGTTGTTTTTGTTTGCTCTATTGTTGTCGCCCCTGCTGCTGTTGGGGATGTTGCTGCTACGGCTGCTGCTACTGCTGGGGATGTTGCTGCTGAAGCTGTTGCATTTGTTGCCGGCGATGACGCATTTGTGGCCGCCTTTACCGGGGCCAGCGTTATAAATTGATCGGCATTGATTGGGGTCACATTGCTGTCTGTTGTCGTCGTCGTTGTTGTTGTTGTTGCTGTTGTTGCTGTTGTTCCTGTTGCTTCTGCTTGTACTGTTGTTGCTGGTGCGGCTGCTGGTGCGGTTGCGTTGGCTTTCTTTTTGGCAACAACAGTGGCTGTTGATGTTGCCGTTTTGCCGGCATTTTTCAGCTTTGCTTTATCGCCTGCTGCCGCTGCCGCTGCCACTGCCGCTGTCGTCGTTTTCGGCGATGGCACCTTTGACTTTTGCTCAACAGTTTCCGTCAATTTCGATTTAGTTTCCGTTTGTTGCTTCGCTGTGGTTGTTGCCGATGCCACCGATGCTGCTGCTGCTGGTGGTTGTTGTGCTTGCTGTTGTTCCTTATTATGCGTTGTTTTATTTATTTTCGTTGCTGGTGATGGTGATGGTGCTGGTGCCATTGTTGTTGCCTGTTGCTGTTCAGGTGACTTGGCCGCCTGCCCGGTATTTATTTTTGGCGCTGCCGTTGCTATTGTGGTTGTTGTCGTTGTCGCCGTTTCGTTCAGTTTTGACTTGTTGGCTGCTGCTGCTGTTGTTGTCATTGTTGTCATGACTACTGCGCCAGCGTTGCCAGACAGCTGTTCTGTTGCAGCTGCAATTGTTGTCACAGTGGTTGTTGGTGTTGGTGTTGTTGTTGTTGTTGTTGGTTTCGCTAGCACCTTTTTGGCTGCCGTTGTTGTTTTGATTGCTGCGGATTCTGTTGCAGTTGTCGCAGCAGTTGTTGTTGTTATTGGCTTGGCTTTCTTTGTTTCTGCAGCAGTGGCTGTCATCTCTGTGGATATTTTTGGAGCTGCCTCGATTTGAGATGCCGCTGCCGCTGCTGCTGCTGCTGTTGTGGCTTTTACGGGCTCCGCTTCCATTTTCTTTGGCGGCTCCACTGCCTTCACAGCTGGCTTTAGCTCCACAAGAAGTTCGCTTTTCAGCCGCGGTGTCTGAACTTTCAGCTCCGTTGGATTCTCCTGTGCCGCTTCCCTTGGTGCTTCGTCCAGGGTCGTCATCTGTTCGCTGAGCGCCTTCTTGCGATTGTTCATGTAGAGCGTTTCCCGTGATCCGATTTGAGACCAGAAGTCCTCACCACTTTCCGATTTTTGTAACGCTTTGCGTATAGGCTTGGGTGTGGCCACGCCTGTAGGCGTCTCTGCTGGCAGCTCTGGCGGCTTGGTGGCCACTTCGGCTTTATTTTTCTCAATGCTGGCCTCATCGAAGGTGAAAATCTGGGCAGAGCTCACATATGTTGAGGGTGATGGCAGCTGCTCCGTAGCTGCCTTCGGTGCCTTCTTCAGTGGCGATGTTTTGGCTTTTGGTGCCGCCTTCATGAAGCCCTCGGGTAGTGCCACATCCTTCGGCTTTTTCACGGTTGCTGGTGACGGCGGCTGAGTGATCTTTTTTTTGGGTAATTTGAACACCTTGTGTATCTCATGATGCTCCTCCACCGTTTCCACATTCACCGTAAACTTCGGCTTGGGACTTGTCTTTGGAGTAGCCGCCGCCAGTGTGGGGGTTAAAGGAGCGGACGTATTGGCCTCCTCGTTCAGCTCCAGGACGCTGGGCATATGTTGAACTATGCTCGCGTTGCTCGGCGCATTGTCGATGTCCACAATAGCCGTGATTTTGTGACGCAGCTTCTTGCTTTTCTTCTTCTTGGAGCTGCGTCTGTGACCAGCAGTTGTGGCCTCATCGGCGGTGGTGCTGTCGTGGCTGCTCCGACGCTCCAAATGTATGAGCTGGAAACTTCCTGAATTCGATTTCTGCAGCTTATTGAGTATCTCCTGCTCCTGTTCCTGGATAATGGACGCTCGACGACGCAGTTCACCCGCATTCAGATCATCATCGATCTTGTCCGACGAGATGTCCTCGCATATATCATGAAATGTGGGACACTGTACAAGGCTCAGGCGGCGAATGGTGTCCTTCACCTCCTGCTCGCTGAGGGAGTGCTCATCGTCCTGCTCCTGTTCTGTTTCCTCATCCTGCTCGGATTCGTTGCTGCTTGGCTGCTCCTTGCTGATGGGCTGCACTGCTGGTGTAGTGGTTATGCCTAAGGCTGTGGTGGCTGTTGTAACCGCCGTTGTGCGTCTTGGCGGCGGATCTGTGTTCTCCTTATCGTCGTGTATAAAGAAACGTTCGCGCAAGAGCTCACCGGGCGATTTCTTGTTGCTGGTGGCGGGGAAGGCGGCCAGATCTTCGGCCAATTTCTGGCGCCAGCTCAGGCTCGGCTCTGCGGCCGGCGGCAAATCACGAAACTGATGGTGATCCTCAAAGTTTTGCTGGTCGACGGTTTTCGCTTCCGGCCGCTGATCCTTGCCAGCGCGCTCCTTGCTGCGCGTGCGTATTGTGGAGAGACGGACGACGGCGCGATTGCGTCTGATGGTGGAGCGTTGCGCACGCGCTGGAGCGGTAGTTGATGGACGATCGCCCCCACTTTCCTGCTGCTGCTGCTGCGGCTCTACAACCTCTTTCTCGAGTGTTGCCTGCTTGGCCTCCGGCTGCGGTGCCGGTTCTGGTTTGCTGGCCGTCGCCGGCTCTGCCGAACGCTTTCGATAACGCGCCGAACTCACGTCGATGTCCGCCGTATTGATGGCAATGGGTCGGGGTGGGATGTAACGGGCGGTGCTACTGGCACTGGAGCTGGTCGGAACATAGCTGGATGTAGACGTTGAGGTGTACTTGGGCGACTGGATGCGTGTGAGTGGCATGAGACTGCTATGGTTGCTATGTCGGTTCACAAACGGTGTGGTCTCTGTTATGGTCGTGAGCTTCGGTTGATAGCGCGAGCCCAGGCCATGGACTGTCGTGCTGGACGTGTAGGTGGGCGAGCGGGGCGGCGTTAGGGGCACCATGTATGTGCCGCCATACGCGCGATTATAGCTCGAGGTGTAGGTGGAGGAGGGCACGTAGCTGCCCGGGCTGCTGCTGGACACCCCCATGCCCAGAGCGGAGCTGCTGTAGTATGGCGAGTACAGCTGGCTGCTGCCGCCACTATAATAATAGTTTCCCGAGTCCGAGTAGAGCGGCATTTTCGGACGATTTCAAAGAAACTTAATAAAAAAATACGAGTGCTCTAAAAACTTTTCACGCGCACTATTTGCTTTGCTTTTATATTCACTCTCCACGCTCCACTGAGCTTATAGTTTTTTCTTTCTTAATGTTTTTCTATATATGCAAAAAAAAAAAAAAAAAAACAATTCATAATTTATATTCCCGGTTTGCTGGATTTCAGAGATTTGTGTTTTAGAATAAAGTTATTATATTATTTAAGTTTTTATATTCGATTCGCATTTTATTTTTCGAACTATCGACGTATTGGTTTATATTTTATTGAAGAATATAATTGCAGGTTTATTATGTTTTTTGTGCAAAAACTTAAAGTTTCTTATTAGTATTACTTTATTATTATTATTTTATTTTAGTTAAATAAAACACCAAAAAACAATTATCAGCCAACAATAAAAAAAGACACGTTTCTCAAAACGATTCGCTCGACTTTTCTATAGCCAGTTCTTCGAATATTTGTTATTTACGCATGTCTGTTCCTATACATATATACAAGTATATATATGTATGTATACAGAAGCCAATATACTCGTATAGTTGAGCATCAGATTCAGAGTATTTTAATGCCAATTGAGCGTCAATTTGTTTGAATTTTTTTTCTTTCGTATTTTTGGTTCTCTCGCTGTCTGTGTGTGTACCAGGAAATTTATCGTAAGATCGAAATAGTTTACACGCAATGACGAAACTCAGTACATATATGAATGTGCTGAACAGATAATGAATATGCTAGATTATGTGTTTTTAATAAACTCATTTCTGTTTACTCGACAATGCAGTGCACAATTGTTGAGTCGTTAAGGTCAGCAGAATTGCAGGCTATCGACATTAAACAGATTTTAATGTGCTGTGCATATAGTATATGTAAAATGCAGCTAAATAGTTCAGATAGTACCATTTAGTTGGGCTGATCAGTTAGGGATGTATGTACAAGTAAATAGTGAACAGCTAAAGTACTTAGTTTTGTGACAATTTTATTGCCAATTTATAATAACTTGCAAGTAGCAATAAATTGATAGGCATTTTGCATATCCTTTCAGGTAATTAGAGTTTATTACAGGACATACAATTTGGCTTTATTTCCATCGGTTTGAGTTCTATCTTTTCCTTGATTTCTCTAAATATTTGATGCAAAGCTCAATGAAGGTTGAAAAGCTGATTCAGCTGATTTCAATTGAGAGTCCAGTTTATTTACAAATCTAATCTTTTATAACTAATCTATCGACCTAAGATATTAGATACTATTCAAAATTGTTGTATAGTGAAGTTTAGGGGTTGAGGAATAATGCTTTGTCAAATATATAAGTGGTCTAATCTTAAATAAATATCTGGACTGACCTTTAAAAGAAACTCATACTATAAAAAATGAATTCTATATCTCGAACAGTAGAGCTCGCCATTTGTGTACCTCAGATAGTTTTAAACGAAGCCATAGCTAGTACTGGAATGTAAATGGAACGAGTGTTGTGACGAACTTACTAGAATGTATCCATCTGGAATGATGTGAAAGGAACTCATTGATGTACGAAGATGAAGAATCTGCACTAAAATCGGATCTCTGTACCGTCTGCCGAAATACACTTTCAATTTGCTGGACAAATGGCAATGTATTTAGAGTTCTTTGAAGAACTTTGAAGGAGCTGGCATCAAATATAAAGGAAGAACTGCCTTAAGAAATACACTTTCAATTCGATGGATTATTCAGGTGAAGAGCTTGGCTTTTTATGCCTCAAAATTGTGTCTAATTGGTAACTGAGTATGGGCGATGAATTGGCAGCCATTTGGCCATAAATTGACTTTAGAATTTCTTGGCAGATAACACAAATATTATATCAATTAGATTAACAAGCTGGGCACACTGCCGTAAATCGTGTTTTTGTTCTATGTTTGCTTGTGTGTCTGTCCGTCTGTCTGTTTGTCTGTCTGTCTGTCTGTCTTGCCGTCTGTCCGGCTGTCTGTGTGTCGCGTATAAATTTAGAAAATATTTAACAGAAGAAACGAGATGAAAATGAAAATATGAAACAGTGAAATATTTATAAATTCATGGCTTTACGTTCTTCACAGGTTAACGCTTGCATGAAATATGTGCGCGGATATATTTTGATATGCCGCCATCGTTTTAGCCAGCGCCATCGTTCTCGGCCATTGGCTTGGTGTTTAATTATAAGAATTTCGAAAAACTGCTTTCATAATTTGCAACTTGGCATTAGACGGTTGGCAGTTGGCACTTGGCGGGTAATCATAAATTATGGCGTAATTGGCAAACAATTTTTTAATATCAAACGATTTTGAATTGAAGGGCCCGATGGCCAAATTGAGTTTCAGGTTGTAAATGAAATTGAAATTGAAAACGAAGCTAAGCTACAATTAGCAAAATATCTCAACTATCCGATTTTAATTAAAATTGATTTTCTATAATTCACAAAAACACACATACGATTCGATATTGGCCTTTATGTATATGTTGGCATATAGTTTGTATAGAAAAAGACAACGCCTGGCAGATAGTACTTATTTGCGTTTCGACGTGTGACGTAAGCTCACGAGTTGTCGGCGCTAGTTAGATATAAAAATATATATATATACATACATATATATATATATATATATATATATATATATATATATATATATATATATATATATATATATATATATACTTATATATTTATATAGTAGACGAATATCCGCTGCCACGCATACTTTGTTGTTGTGTGGGATTTGCAACTAAGTAGTTTAGATTGTTGTTTGTATTTGCTTTAAACTTTCTTTTCGTTGATTGTTGTTAATGGTTGGTTTTGTTGATCAGTTGTTCTCTGGGCTCTGGTGCCATTAATGCCGAGTCACGTTGACCCAAGACCTAGTAGGCATCCATTGACATTGGCGAAACGTTCCACGAACCGCAGCAGAGCCAGCAGCATTAACATCCAATAATCACGGACACTTTTCTTCAACGAGCCGAACGCATTAACGGAAACTACTGAAATGTGAAAAGCAGCGCAAAATTTTCAAGCGCCAATGCCGGAGCTGTTCCTGGCGTCGCTGCTGCTGCCACACACACACGCACACACAAAAACACACACAAAAACACACACAAAAACACACACAAAAACACACACACAGATACTGTATATAGGTCTGGTTGTGTGAGTGTCTGCGACAAGAACGTCGAGAGACTGAGTCTGGGGCCAACTTCGATGATGACAGGCAAGCGGCCCAAAATGCTGGGCATGCTGTATTTATACATCTGCCTTTGTATATATACATGTGCCTATGTGTGTGTGTTTGTGTGTGTGTGAGTGTGTGTGTGTATGGGTGTTGAGGTAACAACCTAGCAAAGATCCCAAAACAGCAGGCCATCATCATTGAATTGTTGCTCTCAGCTAATATTCTGCTATACGAGCATATATTTGCTGCCGATTTCGAAATATGCCACTCATACACTCACTCACTCACTCACACACTCAGACACGCACACACATGCACACTCACAGACACAGTCATAAATTACACGAGTGTGAGCGCGAAAAAAATTATTCGTATTTCGAAAAACATCAATTTAAATTTTTGAACAAAATTTTGAGTGAATTTCGTGTCGAACTTTTTTGCGCACAGAAAGTAAAAGGTGTGCAGCAAATCTACACTGAAAAAAATGAGCAGAACAGGGTACAGAGATCAAAAGGAGCAGTTATTGTGGAAATATACGTACATCTAGTGTCTATTGTCTGTTGCCGAGAAGTATTGAAGCTTGAAAAGTTTGTAAACAATTGTTTGAATTATATGTAAAAAAAATAAGTTAGGGTTTATTGGAAAAATCGGAGACACTAAAAACAGCTGTACAATAGAAATTGCCACTACTACTACATATATCCAGATATTTTGTTCCGATGGTCCCAGATGCTTGATTTGCCAGTAAGTCGAACGAGAAAAGTCTTTAAAGTCTAGGTATAGGCAGAGGTACCAGGACCAAAAAGTTCATCCTAAAAGTATGCTCTTGCCAAATGGAATTGCCAAATAGATTTAATCATTTAAATAATGGTAGTTCTTTGAGAAATAATTTAACATTTTGCAAATATCGAAAACTTTCAAGTAACTGTTGTTTTCTCACCCCCTTTAATCAGAAAGATTGTGTCTGTTATATAAGTAACGGATATTTTGTTTGTTTGTGCTTGATCACTAACTGATAGTTTGTTGGCAAACCAAATAGAATACCTTTATCATGGGACCGAAACGTAGTCATCTAAAATAAATATTTTATCTTCTACTTAAAGTAGAAACAGAGACAGCAAATGGAGAAACATTGATTTATGTAGTGTACTTAAATTGTCAACAAAGTCGAAGCTAAAAAGAGAACTTAAGAAGAGAACTTTGTTGCCTTAATTAAAAAGACAATGACAAGCTAAATGAGCTTTTATTAGAACTCTAAACCGAAGGCTGCCATAAAGAGCAACTCAGCTTCGGTTTTAATGATGTTACATGCGTAGAAATGGTTTTTAAAGTGATTTCACAGACCATTTCCTTAAAAACACATTCACTTTTATCTTCAAAGAGCCGGTTTCTCAATGCTTGGCTAAAGATAGACAGACAAAAGGCGTGAAAGAATTGTAAGAATTAATTCAATAACTTACATATTCATTTTGCCGTTACACATTTACTATAATCGTCAATATTTAAACTTTATAGCTAGCGATCCAAGCAGTTATTTAAATGGAAACTGTTGATCAGACTGGGCTTTGCCAACAGACCGATCGTACAGATACCTTAATCTAAAAAGAGTGTAGAGCTCCTACTAGACCCTAAAAAACTGAATGCTCTGCTGCCAGCAATAGTATCGGGGAAGTTATCGTAGTTAGAATGGGAGTCCCATCCCCTATAAGACACACGTAATTTTTACTTTGGTTCGAACGATGTGCATTGGACAGGAAAGTATTTTAAAACACAACTATTCATTGCTTTTGTGTATTCCAATCTCGGCTTTAGCTTTGCAGATTTAAAAGAAATTATTATTGTGAAATCGACCTTTTAAGGATTGATAACACTTGTATAGACTTAATTATTATTTTTCTTTTATTTTAAAAATAAATTACATTATTTAGGAGAACTTGTTAGCTTTACATAAGTAACCTCGATTCGAAGGCTTAGCTGCCACACAAATATTAGCAATAATTTTAAACATTATTAAGGTGCTTTTATTGGAACATAATCCAAAGCTTACCAGACTCCGAGTTGACAAGAAAACCAATTTGCAGATATTCTACATTAACTACCGCCAACAAAAAGCTGATTCAGTTAGCCAACAACAATACTACTTGGTTCAATTAATTAGAATATGTTTATTTTTTAAAAACTATAAGCTTGTTAAAAGGAATCATCATTTAATTGAAAATAAAGTTAATAAGAGAAGTTTTGTAGAGGTATTTTTGTAGAGATATTTCATTTAATTGAGAATAAAAAATAAACTTGATTAAATTGATTAGAATATGTTTATTTTTTAAAAACTATAAGCTAGTTAAGAGGAATCATCAAAAATGTGCAGAAAGCTATTTCATTTAATTGAAAATAAAGTTGATAAGAGAAGTTTTATAACCCAATGGAAAATAAATCTGCAAATATACATTTTTGGTGGCATCGGGGGTGACTATTTTATTGACATGCCGTCAATATTCCATGCCAAGAGAATGAATAGATGCCAAGTTATTGCACACAAATTAATACTATTCGTCTGTGCTATCGGTCCACAAATGACGATCGAAAAAATATTCAGTTTTGTTTGAAACTCGGTATAACTCATTCCAAAACATTTTTCATTAATGAAATTTTATATTTTTAATGGCAGCGTCCACGTGTGGTATACGCGATAAAAGAAAGGTTGTGATGAATTGAATGGCCAGCTGTAATTCGTATACGTGATTACTGAAAGTCTAAATATGCTTACAATTTTCATAAAGTTTCAGGCAAACAATTCGGTGAAATAAATGGGTATTTAATTTCACGATTCATCGCATATTAATCGATTCAAGCTGACATTCGAAACAAATTATTAGGGAATCAGAAAGGGACAAACATTTCTGGCCCATTATTGTGACTTTTAGTGAAATGTGGTGTATTCAAAACGATTAAAAAAAAAAAACTCGATTGCAGATGTCAAAAGTGAAGACGATATTTTGTTCCACCATTTCGAAATGGTTTTTGTTTTGAGTCGGGCTTTGGAAAACACACTCTAGGTTACTGCGGTGGACCGCCATTGGCAGCCCCACCCACACATACAAGTTGGTCCTTTGTGCTGCCGGATATTGAAGCTATGCTTGGAGAGCGCTGCATTGTTTCATCAACATCCTGCTGTGCTTTGAAATCGCCAACAGTGCCTTCTCTGTCCGTTTGTTGTAAGTGGCCGAGCAGGTGGTCCAGCATTTCAATCGCTTCTGGTTCGTTTTATTTCCCGCACCTGGCATCTGCTGCCATGGACAGCTCCTATCAAGCAATGAGCAAGCTGTGAGAAGACCGCATTCTGTTCTCTGGAGTTGCAGCAGGCATTGGGTGGGCTTTTGTCTCTGTCTTGGCATATGGTCCAACATCAACTGCTCTGCTTGATTAATTGCACTTAATTGCTAGCTGGATGCCCGAATCTGTCTTAGCCACCATTTGATATCAAAATATACATAGTTACACAACTGTTAGCCACCAAGTGTGTACAATAGTTTTAAGAGAATCGAGGAATTGCATAAGTAAGATGGAATATGTAAACGCATCTCATATGTATATGGAGAGAGTATAAACTTGAATTGTTTTATCTATGTTTGTGCCAAATACTACTAAGTATATCCCAATCTGTTCGCTACTTTATCTTTTGTGTTTTTGCTTCCCTTAGCGCTAAATATAAAATGCCACAAACCGCAATCGCAATTCGCAATTGTCGATGATGCTGACGTCGGCGTTGATGCAACGGCTATGGTGACGCTTTGGTTCCGCATCCGATGTGAAACCATGAGTGGAAAGAACTAGAGCATGCTGGTGCTTTGGCTAGAAATAGAGAATGAAGATTTGTTGGCCTGGGCCGGTGGGGGGGTTGGGGAGATGCGAATGCAACTTTCTTCTACTTAATCTTCAGCGATTTATTGCTAGACGCGCGTTCCATTATTTTTAACATTTTCAGATGTTTGCATGTTGTCGTATTTTTCTATTTTGGCTGCATTCCTACTGTTTTTGTGTTGTTGCTGTTGTTGTTGCTGTGGTTGTTGTTGCCCCCGGTGCTGTTGCAATTTAAAGCCGCATTCGCAGAATACGAAAATACAAATACAAATTGTTTAGCACCTATTTGTGTTCTGGTACATACATACATACATACATATGTATGTAAGAAAGTCGACGCGATGGGGCTTTTTTTTTTCAGCATTTGCGTATTTTTAAATTTGTCTTGTCTTGTTTTTACATTTGACTTTTTCCTTTTTCCATTTTCCATTTTATTTGTCTTCCCTTTTTTTTTTGGCATGAGCGCATTTAATCGATTTCTAATGCCTGCCTGCATGTCTGTCTGTCTGTCTGTCTGTCCGATGGCCCAACAGTTGTGCAAATTATAAGGCAGTTTTAATCGACTATGGGATTTTCTTTTCTCGAAGCACTCGTACCCTCACTTGTATTTCCGTCATGCTGCCCAACAGCTTTGCACAGTCAATCAAACTTTGTGATGCCAAGTGAAAGTATTCTTTGTTTGCCATGCCATGTTCGTATAGTCTGTGAGTACAGAAGAAAATACACCCCAAAAGCAAAAAAAAAGAAGAGAAAATTAAATGAAAACAAAAATTTATATTTCAACACACGTTGCGCTCATTTCTGGCGACAGAAATACCTTTCTACATACATATTTACAAACCAATGTGTCCGCATCTATATGTACATGCAACGAATAAATATAAAACGTCCACAGCACTTTTTATCTTATTTTAAATTTGTGCAT